GTGATGAGTTAAGGAGTCTGTAACAGAAAATAAATCCAGTGGAATAGTTTTCCTTGTTTATGTTACTCTGGTTTTAAAACAGAGGAGAGTTTATCACTAAATAACTATTATATCTTAATTTGAACTGAACACAGATTCTTTAATCGACAGGATTCCTGGCAGTGATGAAGCTTTAATCACCTCTTCATCACAGCAGCTCAGAATAACATGAGGAGAAATAAAAACTAAACCAACAATGATCCACACATTGTTCAATATTTATGATTATAAATGAACATTTCGGTCAGACTGACTCATCAACTACTTCTCTCCTCTCTGCAGCAGAAACAGTCTGACATTCACTTTTACTGCTTTTATCTGCTTCACATGTTCATAACAGTTTGTTCATCATCAGATAAAAGAGTGAAAATATTCAGTAAGAAACTTCATGATAATTCATGCACTTTAATTTATAATATATCCCTAGACTGACTTTAACTCTTTCTTCTCATATCATATAAAAGACTTGATTCATGGTTCTGACGATGTTGCTTATAAATAAAAACTCTGCCTTGTTCACATGAACGCGCTCGTACCTGGACAGGTAAACCCAGAGTTAACTGAGCCAGGTGACGACCAGCTTCATGGTACAGGTTATCAGGACGGTCAGTGTCAGGTTCAATTAAGCCAGATAACTAAAGGTTATCCTGGGTATGTTGAGCTTGCACTTGAACTTATATCAATCCAGCAAATAAAACTTTCTGATGACATTAATGATCAAAACAAAATGAAAAGTACAAAGCACTAACCCCAACCTTAAAAATCATTCAGTTTACTTGACACTTTAATGTTTCCATCTTTACTGCAGAGCGCCGTGATTTACTGCCTCATCTTTGACTGATGTTCACTTCTGGCTCTAAATAAAAACATGTTGGATGATGTTTACCTGCAGTTACTTTCAGTAACTGATTAAACCTGACTGCTGAGCAAACTGTCAGTAACTGAGGCCAGTGTAGATGATCAATAAGTTGATCAGCTCCTCTCTTCAGTAAACAAATCAGACTGAAGCTGTGAGCACCTGTGTGTAGAGATTACTGCTCTGACATGAGCACATTCATCAATAACCACTAGTGATACCACATGTGTATATGTAAAACATTTATTGTGTGTACAAAAAGTAGTTCAACAGATGAATCATGAATGAAAACAGACATTTGACGTGCCCCACCCCACCCACCCCCTCCCTCCCCGCAAATACCAGGTCAAGACTCGGGTGTTTAAAGTTCTTAAAAGAACCATGAGAAACAGTCACATCTATATTTTAACAGAACCAATCAGACCCAAGACATTCATCAGCCCCTCCAGGACTGTCGTTTCAATACAGTTTAGAAATTGAAAATCAGCTGCAAAACGTGTCATTGTTTAAAGAACAAACTGATAATCATTCACATTAATATGCAAAAAAAAAATAAAGTAATTTTTGCTGAGATTGAAAATTATTTGTCTTTGGTTTGTAAAAAAGATCCTATATTAAATTAAATTACATTCTATATGAGACTGCAGTGATTGGTGAAATGAGTATTAGCAGTTTCACCAGTTTTTGCAGGAATCAGCTGATTTTGCTTTAATCCTTGTGGTTAAACTGAAACACTGAGAAATCCTGGAGGGACTGAATCACCACCGTGTATCAAAACTTCACAATGTCTCAGTTTTATAGAGTAATCACAGTTACAGAGAAATCATAGTTACGGTATAGTCACAGTTAGTCTAACACTGCCAGACTTCATCTAATTCAGATGTTCAAAGGCGGTTTCTAATCAATTATTAAACTAGAAGTCATTGTTTCTGCCACATGAAACATATATATTCATACCCTCACAGCAGAACAGTACAGGAGTGTTGTTCAGCATTATTTTATCAAAATCCTGAAATATATTTGAGCCCAAGAGTAAATTTCTACTCTTCAATTTAGGTCTTGAACACCCAGACTTTAGCACCCCAGAAACACAAAATAATAAATGAAATATTCATGTAAATAAACTGATTACATAAGACAATAACTCTATAAAAATAACTAGCAATGTAAAGCACAGCATACAAACACACAAGAAAAACTTGAGTTTCCCAAGATGGCACACAAGGTGTGAGAGCAACACTCGTACAACGTACTGCAATCCAAACTAACATGAGAATACAGAGATAATCCATCAGAGCATCACCTCACACGGGATCATACGAGTGTTGTTTCCACTGTTTACCTTGTGTGTACTTAAAAAAAAAATTGAGGCAATGTTACGTCAGTTTAATATTTCAGATTGACAAAGCCAGTTACACGGCTGTGTTGTTTCAGTGGCCCAGCTCTCCACCCACTCGGCGCGGCTTTGCCTGGTTCAAGGAGGACCGAGCCAGCAGAGAGAATCTGGGCCACACCGACCAATCAATATCCGAGCACTGACAACCTGCTGACTTATTACAACAGGGCTGACATGTCATGAGAAACATTTGAACACATAACCATGAGTTAACTAGTTATATGGCAGCAAACACACGTGCTTATCTAACACAGCAGCCCTTTCATACAGGGGCTGCATGAGGATCTACTCCTAAAGAGACAGCTGGTCGTCACCGTTAGAGACTCCAGTCTGCAGCTGCTAACTACATGACATGATTTACCAGATTAAGTTAAGTTTCAGTTTCATTTCTCTCCTGTCTGTATGCACGCACTTCCTGTTAGTGGTCTGGTCTACAGCTCTGTGAGCAGCTTTGTCTGTTGCCTGATGATTGATCGGAGCATCAGTGGACTCTGAGCTCAGTCAGCAAGAGGCGAGACGGACGACTGACACGGGGCGCTCATGATAAGACGCACACAAAAAAAAAAAAAGAAAGAAAAACCCTGATACCTTTTCTGCTTTAAGAACAGGTCACCGCTCCTCATCACTGTTGGGGAGTTTATTTAAATTTTATGTGTTGCAGGTCTTCAGATTCTAGTGTTCACTTTTGAGCTTTTCATTACCAGGTCACTGTGAATGATCCTAATGGCCTCGCGGGCATCAACGCAGCTTCTAGCAGCTTACAGGTCGCTCATAACGAAGGTTTTTGTTGCGCTGCTGCAGGTACAGCTCAACGACGTGCAAAAACAATCATATTGTGATTATTTTGACAGATATGAGTCACGGTTTTATTGGCAGTGGTAATTTTTGCATTTAATTTTCAATGAAAAATTATAAAAAATGATGATGATGAGATTTTTGCTGGAGGTCTGTTCCAAACAAGCACATTTCTTTACATCTGGAGATTATAATTTGTAGGTCAGGACGTCTCTGGAGCGCCACAGTGCTTCATTTATAATGACACGTTTTACCTTTATCAAAAAATTGCATTTAGCTATATTGATTTTTCGATAATATCTTGATTACTTGATCAACCCGACCTGCAGGAATCACTGGGTTAACAACAAGCCTTGCACTACAGACCTCACAAAGGCCGTAGAGAGAACCGTCTCTACTTTTTCCATTTAATTTCCATCAGAAATAAAAGGTTGATGAATCTGTAGTGTTTCTGTTCAAGGAGAATTAGTCCTGCTGTCGGGAGCCCAGTTAACAGTTAACTGAAACACAGCTTCAACGGCATTTCTGTGCAAATCTTTCACAGGAAGACAAAAGACAAACAAATTCAAAAAGGAAATGTGCGGCGGGGGAAAATCTGTCGGGGTAACAGGAACAACACTTGTTGCTGAACAAGTCATCGAAATAATATCCAAATCACAGGAGCTGCAATTTTTTGATAAAAATATGTGACAACAGAGTTTTATAGATGAAGTGTTGTGGTGCTACAGAGAGGTCCCCACCTATAAATCCTAATCTCCAGATATAAGGGAACATGCTCGTTTATAACAAACCCTCAGCAGAAATCATACCATCATCATCATTTATGTTTTTTTTTCCCCATTGGAAATTAAATTAAAAAAACGGATGGGAAACACTTTAAGACCTCGTGGTCAAAAATGTCTTGATTTTAGAGAAGATAAAAAAAATAAAAAAAATCTCCAAAATCGAATGAAGAACTGCTCATCACTGGTTCAACAAGTTATTAATTCATTATATCTTTATGGCTATAGAAAGTAAGGAGGTCCTTATCAACTCAAGTAACAGGTTATTTTACTTGACCTTGTTATACATTGTGCTGGTCATGAAGGATGAAACCAAAATGCCCAGTGCAGAAGAATGAGAGACAGCCAGTAGGAAGGAAGCATCGACATGTAAAGAACTATTAGTAGAGGTGGAATATTCAGTTGCAACACCACAGTTTGACAGTTTAGGTCCATCATCTCTGTGTGATGCACAGATGTTGGCATTGCTGGTAACATGTAGGGAAATGACACATATTAAAGCAGGCCCAGAAATGTGGAGAGCAGTAGAAACAGAGTCCATTAGTCCAAAAAGTTCTTACATTGTCTCGAACAATAAAAACCTAATGATGATGAGGCAATGGACAGGATCACATCTGAGAGCATCTTGAAAAACGGGGAAGTCAAAGCCATCAGCAGAACAGGAGGGCTTCACATGATGGCACACTCTCTGGAGGACACCTTGCCCTGAAGGAGAAACAAACAGGTTCAGATCATCAGAAGAAGTGGGGCATTTATATTAATTACTTCAATTTATTTAAAAAAACAAGTGGGGTTAAGAAAAGAAGAAACGATTAGAAGCCAGATGATACAGTTTGAGGTGCGATACAACATCTGATGATATATCAGCCACATTTGGCAACTTTGGCAAACACGGACATTTTTGGACATAAAAACCTGTGGGAAATTTAGTTTATTACCTGCCTCATATTAAACATGATACCTTCACAGATCATAGCATTAGTGGACCCTGCTACAACAGATCATATATGTTGATTTTTGCATGTAATAGGTGATTAATAATCTATTATTAATAGACTCCAAGATCATGTGCACCATTTATTAACAATAAGCTTTCAGTGTGACCCTTCATGGAAATTAAAATTGATGAGTTTTATTTAGATATAATTATGTATAATCAGACCTCCGTATAGGTGCTCACCTGGGGATCAAAAGTGTCCTTACTTTAAATGATATTGTTGGAGGTCGTCTGCTCATTCCAACTTAATCTTCCTAACACCTCCTTTTTTTCTGTTTACAATTGCACAGTGCTCTACATGATTAAAGATAAACAGGAGGGTGCAGCTTATCCTCTTACCAAAATCCCTAAGTGCTAAAGAAGTACTTTACAAATGTATGTTAGAGTGTAAGTAACTGGCCTTTCCTTTAAACATCATCCTCTAAAACAGGGGGAGAGAGAGAGAGACATATCCAAACAGATTGATGCAAAAGGAGGCTCTATGAAGTATTAAATCAGGGAACTGATAACTTTTCCAACCCTGATATTCTCGTTTTCATTTATTAATATTTTTCTGAACTGTTTTTTGTTAGTTTGATGCCGTTTGTGCAAATTAGTAAATAAAGCTGGAAAAAATTTTGATCTCAGCCTGTACGACAAAGTAACTATTTCAAAGAGGTATGATGATTTTCTGTAGACAGTGTCTTTTGTCCAGGACATAAAAGAGATGTCATTGACCCTTGTTTCTTTTGTTTTAAGATAAAAACAATTAAGAAAATGAAAACAGAGTTAGAAGAAACAAGAACACAAGTGTGAAAATATAAAACACGACACAAATCACAAGAACAAGAGTTTCTCTGAAACCAGCTCACTTAGAGAAATGAACAAACGTGTGACCAAAGGACAAAAGAAAAAAAAATTACGTGATGTCAAAGGTGAAAATAAAAATAAAATAAAACAGGGAAATGAAACAAGATGAAGAAAAAAAGTTTTTCACACGTGAATCTGGCAAGAAAAAACTCACTGTTTGTGCCTCCTCCTCCTCTTCGTCTCCGTTCTCTACCTCTACCTGAGTCTTGGTTACGCTTCGTCTGGCCACCTCCTGCAGGACAGTCAGTCAGACCACATGACTCAACAGACACACCTCACTGCGAAGCTCAAGTACAACCCTCACCGAGGCTAACACACACACGAACATCATTCAACATATAACGTTGTGGTCTGTGTCAGAGAAATCAGGTGTAATAAGTCATGCACTGATATCTTTACCTCGCCATCAGCGTTGATCAAAGAAGTAACGATGTCATTTCCTGTTCCCCAGGAAGCCTGGCTCTTCCACAACAAGTCAGATGGTGGACTGTGGGCCACGCCAGCATCAGCAGACCACACCTGTGTACAGAGTGCAAGTCAATACATCATGTGTCAGTGTTCGTACTGAAGAACAATATACTCACTGATCAAGTGAGTGCTCTGAAGAAATCCTTCACATTTTCATGAGCGATCACACAACACTAGTGAAACAAGGCTTATAGTGAACAGATTTGAATTGCAATACTCCAATCATCCCGCAGCCATCTGATAATGTGTTTGGCTGTTGACCAAACGTTCTGTCTGACTGGACAGCTCACTTCCCCTGTGGCCACAAATCAGCCGATTGAGTTACTGCACGAAGTTGATTCCTCCCTCTGAATCATTTTCTCTCACAGTTAGCATTTTGAGCTAATCATCAGTGACAATGTAACAGCATTTGGCTGGTTAACTTAACACCTGGTTAATTTCTGCAGCAACAACTCATTTTCACTTGTCATGAATTTATTTTCTCTGTGGCAGCAGAACATGTTGCGCCAGTCTTCAGAAACTCCTTCAGATTAAAATGAGCGCACCACAAATCAAAACACTCACTATTCACTCGCAACCTAGCAACCTAATAAGGCAACAAATAACCCATAATGCAACACTCTGTAAAAGTAGTTAGACTGGCACTAGATACTCTAAAAGAAAAGATGATGCATTACGAGCAGTGCCAATGGTAAGAAATAGTAAACACTTCCTGTGTCGTAAGTGGGCGTGGCCATGGTTGTGATTGCCTGTTCATGTCAAAACATAACAACACAAAACACTGGGTAGTTTGAATTTGTGCCTGATTTTGCTGCTTAATATCTGATCAACCCAGTACAAGATCATATCAGCCCAATACTCTGTTTTCCCTCAAAAAACAGTTAAATAACAATAATATAAGAAATAAAAGTTTTACTTCAGTTTTAACTTTTAATTTGTGCTTGCATGTATAGGTCCCTCTAAACTTGGGCGGTTAGAAAGTGACGTCGGCAGCACGGAGAGTTTGTTGCTGAGACAGAGACAGGTGTCGAAGAAAGTTTATTTCCTCCTTATCCGTCTGAAAACGTCATTTAAATGTCAGAGTGTTCAGAAGCTCTGTGGCTTGTGAAAAAGTGATCCAATATTTATTTTGGCGACTGTGGGGCGAAGGAATCATAATCTGTGATCATGTTCACTTCTCCCATTGGAGTGAACAGACTCAGACCTGTGGCTGGGCGGGGAGGAGGGCGAACACCATGTGACACAGATACAGGAAATGATTCTCAGTGCGCTGTCTCCTTTCTCAACTGTCTCCGCTGCTACACTCTCAATTCAATACAGAAAATCTAATGTAATGACAGAAGACCCCCACTTTTTTTAAACCTAATTTCTAGAAAAAAAAAGTGCCTTATATTCAAGCAGATAAAGTGTCCTTCCTCACCAGAGCAGCAGAGAACTCTCAGTAAAGTCTTTCCTGTTCATTTGACTTAGGTGCTGTACAAAAACTTTTATGCGTGGCTTCTTGTTATTGCATAATGCTCTTAGACACAGTGCATCAGAAGGGTTTGTTTGCTCCATGCTTGATATAAACACTCACCAGATTCTCTTAAACATTTCATCAATATTTTAAGCCTTTTAGCTGGTATTTTATGTCAGGGAAAGTTACAGAAATGTTGTTTGGCAGAAGCAGTTTGAGTCATTAATATGAAACTTAATATCGACTTTGTTTGATTCACCAGTCCATGAAACTAGTTTAGCTTCTGAGCTAATATCAAAGACAGAAGTGTCAACAAGATCATTTAGATCTTTTATCCTTAGTGTCAACAGTGACAGAGGCAGCTCATCCCCCAGCACTACTTCTTTGATAGAAAGTAGGTCAGACACAAACTTTCACATTGCGCCCTGTGCTCTGCCTGCGTGACACTGTGGTTTCTTAACAGCCCTTTTTCATTAGGTTGCATTCACTGTGGTGTTGGCTGCGTCTTTAAAGCACTCCTACACATCACTTGGATTAAGTGTGAAAATTTTCTGTATATATCTACTTCATATTTCTCACCGTGACTGACTGTCCCGCCTTGAGGACAAACTTTGGGGAGAACTTATAGACGACCTCTTCCCCATCGTCAACCTGTCTCTTCAACCTCCAGTTGCCCAGAGGCTGGTCCTGCAAAACACAAGAAGATTAACATGTGAGCACAGCATCTTTTCACTTTTAACACCAAATCACTGATCCACTCATACACACCATTTTAATGAACTCTAACATGATCAGCATTTACTATTATAATGGCGATGCTGGTAATCACCAGCTGCTAGTCTTCGTCCTGTCTTGCGTACCTGCTCAGTGTCATTGGTCAGTGTGACCGCATTTCCATCCATGTCAGTGGGTGATATGGTGACCGCTCCGCTAGCGGTGGCCTCTTCAGACACCAGCAGCTGCCCCTCTCCTCTGCCCACCTCTGGCATGTCTGCGCCCTCCACCTCCACTCTCTTCCTCTTGGAGGAGCGGGAGGAGGAAGAGCCCGTTATCCTGGAAACAGTGACGCGAGCCGATGGGCTGTGGGACAGCTTCAGCCTGAAAGAAGCGCAGCGTCCATCAGTGAATTAATGGTTATCCACCACACAACAAGGTCACAGCCACGTCCATTGAATAAGTGTTTGACAAAATGTTTAGGCCAGAATCTGAGCTTATTCTGTTGACTGACGATAACAGGGTGTCAATTAGCTCTTTTAGGAAAATTATTTGTTTATATTGATAATTTAATCATTAAAGAGTAGATATATTAATTGAATGATTCCTATTTGTCACATGTTGCATGTAAAGCATCTTGTTCATTTATTCATCCACACATAACAAATTACAGCGACCTTAGAAGATGACAAGACACATTTCTCTTTCTTTATCCGAACGTTTTTCTTTTCATTAATCTGACGACACTGAGTTCAGACGTGTGCGGTGCTGAAAATGTTACCAGGCCCAACTCAGCAGACTGTCGTCCTCACATTTACATAAAAGTGATCAGGCAGCTTATTCAGACGGGAGGCTGATTAAACTGCCGCTATCTTAACATTAAGAAGTTTAAGTCTTAATTCCAGAGGCTCCATCCCAAACATAAGGTGCACAGACACACAGTAGAGCAAACAGCAGCGAGTCTACCACCACCATCCTTGTTCACAGACATTAACAGTGACTGACAGCCTGGAGGAAACTCAAGAAAATCAAACACCACTCTGCCACAACCAAACCTCTCATCTGAGACTCAATTTCATTTAAAACAGCATTAGGTGATTCACATAATATGTAGTCATATCTAACCTAGGTCTGTGTGTGTATGTGTGTGTGTGTGTGTGTGTGTGTGTGTGTGTGTGTTGTACCTGTGCTCCTCTCCCTCCAGCAGTTTCCTGTATGCATTGATCTCCATGTCCAGAGCAAGCTTCACGTCCAACAGCTCCTGGTATTCACTGAGCTGAGCGTTCATCCGTTCTCTCAGTTCACTCATCTCTTGTTCCTTTCCTTCGATGGCATGGCGGTGCTTGTCTCGCTCTGCTGACAGAAGGTCCTCCAGCTCTCTGATACGATCCTCAGAGGCAGACGCCTACAAACACACCCAACCAGCACAACCGCCAGTTAGTGGAGCTAACTTACGATGCCATTCATGAAGCTGAATGGCCAAAGTACTTTATTTGTTTGTACAGTTGGTCGTAAAGCAGTACCTGTTTCTGCAGGGCGCTCAGCTGATAGGAAAGGCCCTCTATTCTCATACGCGCCTCCTGCACCTCCTCCCTGGCTGTGCTTACTGCCTTGTCATTCATATCTGAGGACACCTTGGCATTGTCCAACTAGAGGGAGGCCACAACAGACTATGTGTGAGAGTCAGAGCATTAAAAGACAAAGGCGGAAAAAAAGAAAAAGATTTGTCTCTCACCTTGGCCTGGAAGGTTTGCTCCAGTTCTTCCTTATAAAGAGAAACTTGCTCATCATGTTGCCTCCTCAGGTCCTGGTGAGATCACACAAACCTGATTAATGCGATTTCTCACATTTCCACAGTGACTATTCCATCATTACAACAACAGAACCATATCGTAGTCACAACACTGCTGCCGTCTGATTTTAGACGGACAAAACTCAAATCTAAGATTATTTGATGATTTGTTTGGGTTGGCATCTGCTCAGTTTCCTTGCAGACATTTTAAGATTTTTAAGGATCTACAGACATCCTCTTGTCACATTCACTGTGAGTGAATATGTTTGAACAGCCCTGCCAAACAGATTTATATTGTGGTAATATGTAAGTGCAATAAGATGGCTGTAGCCACATGTGGAGTACTATAACACAGGAGAGAACCCTGAATTCACAAACATTAGTGAAAAGCATCTCAAGACAGACTGCAAATTTAAAAACGCCTTTTCAATCTGCAGAGGAAAATTAATGTCAATCACTGATTTACATGCGCCATGTGATTGGCTGTTGTCAAGCACAACAGTATATTGAAATTTCATACCGTTACTATCAATATCATCATGGATGCCCAACACTGCTCCTCTCACCCCGCCCCACCACAGAGGACTCAGCCCCCAACATACCTGCAGAGCTTGAGCCAGTTTGAACTCATAGTCCTGTCTGACTCCAGAGTCCACCTCCACTATTCTCTGCTCCTGTCGACGGCGGGACTCGCGCACCTCCTGAGCAACAAAGGGAAAGATGGGGGTGCAACTCAGAAAAATACTTAATGCCATAGAAATGTCTCAGTTTTGATCTGTTAAAATGAACTGATGTGACTGTTGGTGATCATTTTTCATTCTAAACTGTCTATAAACACAAAGGGTTTATGGTTAATGTGTTCAGAGCACAAAACTAAACTGAGACCTGAAGGATAAATGTTCATTTTGAACATAAAAGATAAAAATCTATTGAATAAAAATGGCACTATTTAAAAAAAAAAAAAACTTTTTACCACAGTTTTATACTTTTACTTAAGTCATTTTATTTAAGACAAATTTAATAACTGTTTAACTGTCTATGCCATTTCTGAAGTCAGATTAAATAAGCAGTTTCTTTCAGACTTGAAATGTGAATTTGTCATTATTCTCCACATGAATGAACAGAAAAATAAATGGTGGAATAGTTGATAATGGAAATAATTTGTGGCAGTCAGATGTCATTGCTTTTCACAAACCACACACACTCCTTACCTCTTCGAACATGCTCTTCCTGAACTCCAACTCTTCACTCAGCGACTGACAGCGGTTCTCCAGGTCTACACGCATCAGTGTCTCCGCCTCCAGCTGGCGCTTAGCAACAGCATGGCTGTCCTCCGCCTAAACACCATGTAACACCACAAGAAATTTCAGCACATGGACAAACTCCAAAAAAGGGTTACACTAACTCATGACACTGTTGTACACAAGCTGAAAAGATTTACATACATGTCAGACTGGAATAACTTTTCTTGGATTTATTGATTTATTGTTTCATTGATCCTGAATTTGGTTTGTTCCTGGGTGTGGTAATGTTACCGTTACATTAAGACGTGTGATGGCTATATATCTTTTTTAATATGATGTCCTAGAAACTTAAACATGAAAAGTGTTACACTTGTTCACTTCTGTTAAGTTTGAGATATTTAAATTGATTTCATCCTGTTTTGATTCAGTGTGAAGCTCAGTGAATGATGTCATCACCACACTGTTCTCTGCTCACGCACAATTTTCACTTTTCGCTCACACCATGTCAAAATGTTCACAAGAACTTCTTGTGGGTCTGAAGCTTCATTGATTAAAGGCGCCTGTATTCTGTGGAGCTAGTTTTCAGAAATGGGTCATAATGTGAGACCTCTCAGTACAATAACAGCGCACTGTTTTTGATTGACAACCACAGATTTGATCATGTTTCTCCCACGACTGAATCAACTTACATCTCAAACAGCCCAAAGTCACACGGTGTAATGTAGCTTTAAGAATGCACTCACATTTTGTCTACCCTTCCACACAGTCTCAGTTTGACTCTGTCATCACTATCATGTTGGGCTGCCCCCCTGCACCACCTCACTGTGCAAAAGTCTAACAGTTTGGCTAATTATACTTCTTCCCAAGAAAGTGTGGACTTGTGGGGATCAGTTTGGCTGGGTGGGGCAGTGATTAGCACTGCTGCCTTATAATAAGAGAATTCCTGGTGTGAACTACACTTCTGTTGGTTGGTAAAATACTCCAAGGAGTTGGTTGATTAGATTTTTAGCCTCTCTGAAGGGTAGTAAAGCACTGTAAAAGTACACTCAATGCTTCCTCAGACTTTGTAACCAATTACAGTTCCTGTCTTGCCTCCTTTTTTTTTGTTTTTAACAGGAAACCCTGCAGTACACACCTTAGCCAGCAGGCTCTTGACATCAGCAAGCTCAGAAGTCAGAGCAGCATTCTGACTCAGAGCTGTAGATAGAGATGCTTCACTCTTGTTCAGCTGGCCTTCCAAACTGCTGGCCCTGGACACCGCTGCAGCAAGATCACTATCCTTCTTCTTGGCACTGGAACACATGGACAGAGGGAAGAGAAAACAGTTATTGCATTCAACTGGCCAGGGACCCTGTTTCCAAATGCTTATCTGGTCACCAGACTCATCTGATGCCAAGCAATGTGACCAGTGTGATAATTAGGTGTACTGTATCATATTACCTGCGTGTGGCTTCTTCCAGGTCAGACTGAGCCTTGCCAAGGTCTATCTGGAGCCTGGCTCTCTCTCTAGCAGTTTCATCCAAAACCCGCCGAGCATCAGCTAACTCTGCCTCATACAGAGACTTCAGGCCTGTCACCTACAGAGAAGGGCACAGAAATGCATTAGAGGTGTGAATGCACCCAATGTAGCCACATTCTTTTAGCAGTGTGTACATTAATGTGTCCTGGGCCACACTGAAGGACTGCCTACTCAACTGGCGTCCACCACCATAAGTGGAATGACATGCTCATTTATGTTCTCAGATCTGGCTTTGTCCAGGATGTCTGAATATCAAAAAGCCCACAGAGATATATTTCCCTGGACCATGCCAAGGAATAGACCCAGTCTGTATTGTTTGGATTTCTTCTTCTTTCTGGCAGACTCGGCACAGGAAGTGCATTCCTCTCTCTCGCCAGTTAAAAACACCAACGCATATGGTCTTTTCAAACCGAAACGCACAGCTCTGCCCACAAGTGGTCACTCGAGATACATGTGAGGACACATTCTGATGTCAGGTTTCAACGGGGCTTAAACAGCTATTATGGGTGAAAAAAGAAAAATTTAAATTTGATTGAATTTCCAATGAGATATGAACTATATACAGCTATTTAAGCAGATTTTGCCCAATGAGCCACATTTGCTTTGAGGGAGAAGGCAGTGGACAGGCCGAGTGTTTCACTTGTATTTGCCCCAAAACAGACATAAGACCTGCTTAAAGAATTGGGACGTCTGTGGGAAAAAGGGAGGAAGCTCCGTCACATCTTGTTCACACATGTAAACTCAAATATGCACACCCGTCATGAGCTTGAAGCTCACAAGTGTGTTTAGCTCTTGTGCTCCAGTGTTGAGGTCTTCAGCTCTGAATGGGCAGTTATTTTCTCAAAACGGCACTTTTACTCACAGAACAAAGCAGTTAATTTTTTGATGCCTAAATACATAGTGTATAACACTAGCCTTACTTTGATATGACTAATAGCCCTTTTCTACTGTATGGTACTGGCTCAACTAGGGGTAGGCGATCTGGCAAAAAAGATCATATGACAATCTTTTGGGGTAGGATCACAATCCACTATCTTTGATACGATCCTGTATCCGCTCTGATTTTATTGTGAAAGTCCTGACTGGAAGTTGTGATTTGTATCTTTCTGCTGCTTTGATGCTTCTCTCTGATGTTTGTCTGCTTGCCACTATTCTTCGCCCACAATGCTGTCCTCCGTTCACAAATTGTGTCACTACCAATCACACTTTTTGTTTAATTCATATGGAGCATGTGTTTGGACCGCGCTGTGATTTTTTTTATGAGGTGCTTATCCACGTATTTTGATTTGAAAGTTCAGTTGCTGCTGACCAGCTAGCCTTGGCTCATCCCACTTTGGGTTGTCCTGCCTGCAGCAGGTTTCTCGATCTGTGGACTGACTATAACTCAACAATCTTGGACTGCGGCTGCTGAAGGTGGTTCTTCTCTGCTCTGGTGGAGAACTTGTGCATGTGTTATGTCAACCTCACCGAGGTTTTTTTGTAAATCATATGCCAAAATAACATTGCCAACAATATAATATCGTTAGATCGCCCAGCTCTAGGCTCTACTCTTTTGGTTTCGCATCGGGAAAAAGTTATGGATATTACCATGTACGTTTATGGTATCACCACCACCAAGGTTCAAACAAGCTGAGGCTATATCAAAAGATGATGTGAAAACAAAGCAGACTACTGATTGGTCAGAGAGATTTGTCACTACTACACTGAACCCATCTGATTTGAAGATTTTTTGCTATAAGATGTTTTATCACAGAAAGTGTTTGTAACCTAAGACCAAAACAGCCACTCATTCTGTCATTGTGTTACTTATGGATTGAAATATAGTGAAAATAAATAACTCCCCTTTTTGCTGGGAACCTCACGCCTAAATCTTCATGGATCTTTACAAACAAACAACCAGCATTTTTCAGCATAAAGATTTTTCTAACGACTGTTATTCATCAGTTTTACTACCAAAACCGCACAAACTAAAATGACTTAAAATTACTGAAAGTGTTGTAAAGCTTCAAGATCATGTCGCCTACGCACGTTTGTCATTGAGTACAGTACACAATGAAGAATCTTAGGGATTTTTTCTAGATTGGCGCGCATTACCACCCCCTAAATACTCCCGGTCCCGTTACATTTGAATACAGATTTGGAAATGCAGTACCATACGTACTATTATCAGTAAAAACGTTGTTAAGCGAATTTAATAACCGTTTGTTCTGATAAACTAGAACATTCGGCTGTGAATACAAGCTCTATTCGGGCAAATCAATTTACATGTTCTTATGGTCAGTTGCCGCCCATAACTGAGGAAAATTAAGACATGTTAGTTAATAATTAGTATTGCTTTATAACAACCTTACTCGCGTTAGATAATAAACATTGTTTTGTAATAATACCACACATGACATTTCTATCGAGTCCTTAACAACACGTGGGTATGTGTTGCTTAGCTAGATGTAAGCTAAGACTGAATGCGCCGGGTGATCTGAGTACTCTGAGTCTCCGTGAAGATGAGTGCAAACAGTCCAACCTGTGTTGAACTATTTTTGTTAAGACTCACCTCTCTGGTAGTCACTTCCTCTTTCTCGGACACTTTGACCATCAGCCGGTCGTTCTCCAGTTCCAGGGACCGGACACGGTCGATATACACGGCCAACCTATCGTTCAGGTGCTGCAAATCTTGTTTCTCTTGTAAACGAGAGATCCGGGTCGGAGAAAGAGGTGTAGAGGCCGCCGACCGGCCAGCTTCACGGCTTGGAGTAGCAGTCGCCATAACGGTTCTTTCGATAATCCTGAGTTTGCTTCGTCACTCGGTGAGCAATAGGAAAAAAAAGGTATCGGATGTTTTAGTTAAGTAAAAATATAGAAACGGTTCCTCTTCTTTGTTAACGATACGGTGTAAATCAATGAGTAGTATGCTCATGCAATGGCTCAGACAGTTGCCTGAAACAGTGATGTGATTCCAAGATGGCCGACGCCGCTACCAAGACCGCGCCAAAAGCAGAGAACACTTCCTGTGTCGCAATGGATGATGGGAGATTGTTAAAGGAGCGCTTCACATACAGTGGATACACAGAACAGGCCCACGAGTGTGTCACATGAGATCATAGCATGATACAGTATAATGTAAGGATAAAATAAATAGATAAATAAATAAATAAAAACTGCTTTTCTATTCACACCATTTGAATAATAGAGACATTGTTTTCAATTTAATTTACCAGAGCAAGGAAATGGTTTACTGTTAGAATATTTACACTTATGAATATAACATTTGGCCATAAGTATAATAAGGTTGATCAGGTATAATTGTCTGGAAACCAAACAAAACATTTCCTAATTCCAGAGAGGAAGTATTATGAATTCTTGAAATAACAAAGGTAAATAAGTCCTTCCAACAACGTCTATAATATTAACAGTTCCAGAATAACAACAAAAACCATATGAAGGATTTAAGGATATTTCTTTTTTTTTATTAGTGATGATATATTTTTGGTGTAATAACCAGACTTTTACCAGCAAATATTGGAGACAAGTTATTCCAGTGAGAAAGAATGTAGGGAACAGATACATCTTAGTGGAAGAGCGCCCAGGCTGCTCGGTTATTCTTTTTTGTAGAATAGAAAAACATTTTCCTTATTGAGGGAACAGCTGGCGCCAACAAGAAAGAGTCACTAGAGTCATGGTTATTTATGTTTTTAAGAAGCATGGTTATTCCAGAGGGGTATTCTTTAGGGTGAAATAAGAAAACCAAATGTAGGCCTATTCATATCTTATATGTCACTAAAATACCCTCACTGTTGAGAAGCTGATTCAGTTCTGGAAGAACAGTGACTTATTTTTATTTTTGATAGTAGGCATATGTAAGGGCTGTTCCAGATGAAACATGTGGGGCAGAAGTTGTGTGCCCATGACAAAAGAATTTATCTGTGAAAAGCAGAGTATTTCTGGAATCTTTTCAGCATTGTAATGACAGGGTAAATTAACTTCAGGCCTCTAGTCTTGGAGGAAATGTAACATGGGACTATACTCTATATGTCAATTAGAAGTTGGAGATTTTAGATACTACTTTAACCAATAGGTTGCATATAAAGTCAAATAACATTTGATCTATGGATCTGAGTCAATCACTAATTAATACTGAGATGCCCTCCACCACAGAGAGTAGGACCCTGCCCCTTAAAGACAGATCAAATTGAGAAAGTACCTTGACATATGATTCTTGGCAAAAATGATATCTGAATATGTAACATTTTCTATTTTAAGAAAATGTTTTAAGTGGTATATGGTAATTTCAGCTGGTTCAAAGTTCAGTTTTCAGTTCAGTTCTTTTTGTTTATATAAGAATGTCCCATTATTAAAACCAATGGTATAAAGAAAATCAAATTTTGTACATCACAGTGTCTTCAAAATAAAGAAGAATGTCTTGTTCCTGTAGATGGATTCTTTGCGCAGTCCTCTTATATAATATTCAGTGTTCATCCAGAACATTTTTCTGTAAATACAATGAAATATTGCAACCGGCTCCTGCTGACCAGCTGTTACTCCCAAATTAAAACCACACATCTCTCCCTTGCTGACTCCTCCAAAATAATACATCCATTTCTAAAGCATGAGTTTCTTGGATAGAATAAAAGTCTGTGCTTTTATTTTGATAATATTAGAAATACACATTTCATCTTAACTGGTTTCTAATACTCCTGGCATTAACAGATAGAACAGAAATTGACATTAATAAGCAGAGAAGTGTCTCAGAAACTCCTCACTATGAAGTAATGGATATGCCTTATGACTTACTGCATAATTAAAGAATGAAATATAACCAAGACTCAAAATATTCAACAAAGAATACATTGACTTACATATTTTTGTTTGGAGATATTTGCTCTTTTGGTCTATTTTAATCTCTTCCCCATTTATGAATGCCTTATTTTCCACCAAGTAGGCATTCTCTCTTTCCCACTTCTTTTACAGCTGTCCACTTGAGAATGCAGATGTTTCTATCATTCACGATCAAATCCAATCAGTTGCTCTTCAGATAGTTATTTTTTCCTGGACATCCTCCATAACGCATCTCTTGCTGTTGGGGACAGGAACCTGATGATCACCAGTCGTTGCGTTCTTCTTTGGTTTTACCAAGTCTGTGAGTCACATCTATGGCAGCCACGACCACTTGATTCAGCCAAAGAGAGTTTTTTTTAAAATATATATTAAAAATATTCAAGTACACTCCTTTATGGCATATTACACTAATATAACATGTTTTGGTGTTGCCATTGTACTGAGGCAAAGTGAGAGGGTCTTATTCAAGCATCGTGAACAAGTCCAAAAGAGTCTGTGAATGTTCTCATTCGTCCAGGTCATAGTTATCTCTCTCAAATCAAATTAAATCGAAGGCAACTGGACTTGTATTGGTCTGTGGAAGACATTTCGCCTCTTATCCAAGCGGCTTCCTCAGTTCTTACGTATTGGTCTCTCTAGTCCAGGAACACTGCATGAACATAACTGCAAATCTATGACTTATTCAAAAGCTGTTGCTCTTATTAGCTGCTTTAATGTGTCACAAAGTTTGTTGTCACTGAGACATAAAGGGATAAACTGAAGAGAGCTTTAATCTCTTCAGGAACAAGCTTGTGGGCTTAAAAATGACCAAGCAGATGGCACATGCAGATGGTCCAAACTTCATCGTCTCATGTGCTGCTGAGGTTTGATATCTGTAGATTGAGTTGTCATGGTTACTTAACAACAGTAGCAAGTTCATGGAGAGGGGGAGGTGGGGTTGTGAAGGTGAATCAAAGGCACCACAAGCAGGGTCAGGAAGCAGGGTCCTGTCGCATGTACTGCACATATTGTAGTATACAGGTATACAACCAAACCCGTGACCGCTGCAAGAAAAGTCAGTTTTCACAGCACACACGACACAACAAATTTGATTACGCCTGTGGTTTCCAATTAGGCTGATTGCATGTACAAGGTTATAAAACAATGTAACCACCACAGCTTTCTCAGATTTGGCCTGGGTTGTGTCCAATGCAACTTGGAATCAGAATCATAATCTGGTTTATTGCCAAGTAGGTTTTCAATATACAAAGATTTTGCTCTGGTGTTTTGCTGCATAACAATAAATAAAGTAAGAAGAAAAACAATATACTGTATATGAACAAAGATAAAACAAGCAAGTACTGCGGGTCAGATAGCTTACTTTTAAATAGAAAAATTTAACAATAGAAAAATGTTTACAATAAAAATGTAAAGAAATATTATAGAAAATATAGATATATACAATATAAATATATATACTGTGGAATGTGCATTAGGTCGCGGGGTGGAAGGGATCGATGCCATAAAAACAAATACATCTGTAAAACAATAAGAAAATAATGTGGAAATATAAACAGGAATTAATAAAGGAATAAATAAGTAAATTAAAAAATGCTGAAATATAAAGAGAAATATATAAAAGAATTTAAAAAAATGCATATACCTTTTGCCTTAGCTTTCCCCCTACTGCTTTTACTTGTCCCTTATTGCCTTTGCAGGGATTGACTGCTCAGCCCACCTAAAGCCAGTTGATGGACAGCTTGGCGCTTCAAGGAAAAGGAAAAGCAATAAGGAAAAGTGTGTTTTAAAATTCTTTTATCTATTTTTCTTTATATTTCCACTTTTTTTTTTTTTACTTATTTCTCTTTTTTATTCCTGCTTTTATTTCCGCATTAATTTCTAATTTTTTTAATAGATATATTTTTTGGGGGGGCACTCCTATGACTCCATATTTAGGCACCTAATAATAAAAGCCACGACAAATCCAATAGGATAGGCGCTCCGATCCCTAATTTAACCAACAGTACCTCCTCCACTCCCGCAGGGGCGCTCCCGTACCGACGTAACATTAAGTAACTTCCGGGTCAAACCTTCTATTACCCCGCCTCGCCCCCTCAACAGTCCTTCCGGCTTGACCGCCATCACAGACAGCAGGTAGGATTATAATGTTGATAACTATCTGCTAAAACTCATGTTTAATCTTTGCCATCCGTCCAGTTCTTTTTAATAAATTGAAACTATCGCAATCTAGTGACTTCATTGAACATCTATGATCAATATTGTGACGCAGCAACTGATTAAACATGAACATTTGTAGCCGCGTTCGGTGACAAACCAGTGTCTCCAGATCTGTTCGTTAAACAAACTGCAGCAGCCGAGCGTCCCCTGAAATCTGTACCGAGTTATTGTTGAAAACCTCAAACACTATTTTATTCTGTAGTATTTAGAGCAACCAGGGCTCCAGTCGCCTTAACGTTAGTGCGAAATCGGACGCTGTTGGCAGAGATTGGATAAACAGTGCACGAGTCCGCCTTCGCATGTCTGGTTTGAATGTATAGACTCATTATTGGGCCCAGACGAGCTAAATGTTGTTAGCAAACTGGCTAATATCAGTAGTCAGTGGTAACCGACGCAATGTGTTATTACAGTGAAGCACGACACATGTTAAGTTGGAAGTATAACACTTAATTACTGTTAAGGTTGATAGACAATTGTTCCGTATTTACAGTGCATACAGTACATGCAAAAGTGACAGGTCTTTTGTAGTATTAATTTGAGGTTATAGTGTCGTCTTATTATACGTGATGTCAGGAGTTTGGGGGGAAGCATTTGGTTGCTGCACTCAACAGTCTAAATGTCTCATAACTTGATTGGAGATGTGACGTCACCACTTTGCATCAGGTCAAGCAGTAAAAAAAATTGTCATCTACAGTTGAACTGATGTTTGTTTGTGTGTGTGCTTTCCTGCAGGCATGGCTATTCGCTACCCCATGGCCGTTGGCCTTAATAAAGGCCATCCAGTTACCAAAAATGTAACTGCCCCCAAACACAGCCGCCGGCGCGGGGTGAGTATCTGCTGTTGAGTGACCACAGTGACGAGTAGTTTGGAGTATCACTTTAAACTTTGAAGGATCAGTCTTAGTGTTGTTTTTCTTTGTTGCTGCCAACTAAGACTTAAACCCAGCAGGTGTGTGTGTGTGTGTGTCTCATGAATATATTGGGGAATTGTGATATGAAGTTTGGTCTTCATTATCAACACAAGTATTCATTTCATACAAGGTCTCATGCAAAAACTGATCCATTTAAACACCACAGTTCACAGAAGTGATTACGGGCCAATCACTGATTAGCTTCTTCAGTATGAACTACTGGGCTTTGAGCTGAGTCAGTTTTTCAGTGAATTATAGCAACACCAACTGGTTTTATATGTTGATGAAGAAAAGTAAGATACAAACTTTCCACAGCCACCTTTTTACGCCTTTTACACCTTCCCTACTCTAATTAAATGAGTACAAACTTAATCATTTCAAGATGAGTAGATCACCTACCATGTGTCCTATGTCTGATCAGGTTCAGATATTTCTCTAAAATTTTTTTACAGAAGCATTTATAGTATGTAGAGTTGATTTCAAAGCTGCAGTTCTATTTGGTGCTTTACAATGTCAGCTTTGTAGTGTGAAAAACACCAGTGAACTGATCTAATAGTTCAGATATTTAAAAGCTTTGTTGAAACATTTGTTTTTCTTGTGCAGCGTCTGACCAAACACAGCAAGTTTGTTCGGGATATGATCCGCGAGGTGTGTGGTTTTGCTCCATATGAGAGGCGAGCCATGGAGCTGCTGAAAGTGTCCAAGGACAAGAGAGCTCTCAAGTTCATCAAGAAGAGGGTGAGTTTCTGTTGTCTGTCAGAGCGCTGAACAGGAAATGTAGCTGTAAACTGGAACTCTTTATTTATGAAAGCTATGGGGGTTGAAAATAGACATGGACACAGTTTCAGTGATTTGGCCATACACTTTGCTACATAAATAGCTTCTGCTGCAGAATCTAATGCAGATTGTATATGTATATTAGCCTTTTTGTATTTAGAGTTGTAGCTGTCTGACACTGCAGCAGGTTTTTTGGGGGTATGCTGAAGGCGTCATCCTCATTCTGTGCTTTTGTCACCTGCAGTGCTGAAGTGAGTCAGTCTAACATCGCTGTGTTTCTTCCACAGATTGGCACTCACATTCGCGCCAAGAGAAAGAGAGAGGAGCTGAGCAACGTGCTGGCAGCCATGAGAAAGGCTGCTGCCAAGAAGGACTAATATGTCACTTAATAAACGTTTGCTAAAGTAAAAAAAAGAAAAAGACTGATGGTGTGTATGTGTTCTACTTTGTTTTTGCTAATTTGTCAGCAATCTGTTCTGATTCTGATGGTCCACATCCACCGGCAGTAAGATCCACCTCAGCTCTGTTCTGTGTTGAGGATGTTGTGTTAAACATACTTCAGCAAAACCTCAAAATACCAACGTGATGCACCGAAATTAATGAGATGGACACTGTGTTGCAGTGCAGGTTATTTAAAGTCAGGTGTTGTTGCAGGCTCTTTCATAGGATTGCATTAGATTTTGTGTGTTTCTGGCCTTTCAGTCACTGCAGTGTGTTCAGCGTGCTGTTGATCACTAGAAATGATCTTTTGAATAGTTGGAACAGACTTTGTGTTAGCATTAGCCTTAGCTTGATCTACTGTGACTGAGCCGAGGGAAGCTGCTTTCCAGACACTGAAGAAATGTAGTTTGCTGATGAACTTAGAATATCTCAACCCTCTGTGAGAATTATTCATCACAGATGAGATGAGCTCTTCACACCATTTTTTTTTCCTTCAATATTCATTAATGACACAAACTGAATTAAATGGACAATGTTTTTCATTGTCAGTAAATTTATTACCATACCAAATAATTTAAATTTGTTATCTTAAGTTGAAAAAATATATTGTCTATGTATTAATGAAACTTACTTTTACATTCACTGACCCTGACCTGTCAGCTGACAGGTGCTGATGTTAGTGAGCACTGTCCTGTTTCCTGTGTCAGGGACAATAAAATCCTTCAATCCAAGTTTCAAATTATCAACAAGAAATTATATATGTAGGATTTAAAAAAAAAAAACTTGGTTCTCACCTGATATTAATGGTATTTTTTCCTTTACTGATCCTGCCTTGGCAATGAAAAACTTATTTTACATAATTTAATGGGACTGACAAGTTGTCACAACAACTCCTTCACAATTAGGAAAACGAGCATCTCTTCAGAGAATGAAAAGATCTCAAGGACAGTCTGGTGATATTTCTCACTGACCGTCTGTGGTCGAAGCTTTCAGTCATTTCCTCTGCTCCATCTGCACTCAGATGGAGACGATTACCATTTCTGTCCAGCAGAGGGAGTCCCTAACGCCTCAGTTCCTGACTTCAAATATTCTCTTCAGTGTGGTGACCAGTGCAAATGATAATGTTGTAACTGTGTAAGACTACAGGTGTAGATAACCTCCACCCATCTTCTCCATCTTTGTGCCCCCACGGTCTATCCACACAGATTGTTCTCAAAATTGTGATATAATAAAGTCATTAACAGTCTCATATTTTGAACTGGGGCAGGAGAGAACACTTACAGCGGGAGGCTTGATCCCTGTGATAACACAGAAAGTGAGAGAAAAGTTAGAACGGCCTTCTCCAAACAGAATGAGAAAAATAAAACGAAAATATGCAATGACAACAACCCAGACACGAGTGAAGGACAGCAGAGAGGACTGAAGGAAGAAAAAGATGATGACAGCAGAGGAGGAAGATGATGATAAATGATTATTCCAAAAGAATGACATCAACCAAGATTACATTATTTTAAATTCTTTTTTCTGTTCTGTTAAATCATCAAATTCTGCCCTTGACCTTGGTGACCTTTGTCTGAGACCAGCCCTGCTCTGCAGCTTTGGTGACTGTGACTAGTAGAAGCTTAGATTAAGTGTTAGATTTAGTGAAGGGATAAAAATGTAGTTTTAGACATTAACATTTTGTTTCATTCATCAGCCACCAGTCTGTCTCCCAGCTGAAAAGCCATCAGCCTGCCTCCCAGTCAGCTAACCTCCAACCAGTACTCAGGCAACTAGCCTTTGGCCTGATTCCCAGTCTGCAAATCCTCACACGCCTCCACCATGTTTCCAAGCCTGCACCCAAGCCAGCTAGCTCCCGGTCTAACTGTCAGTTGGCTAGTCAGGCTAATGATAAACTGTAAATAAATACAGGAACTATAATTTTCTTACTGAGAGAGTATTACTTTCTCTTTTCTCTGATATTTAATAAACTATTATGAACATGTGATGCAGAAAAAAAAGTTGAAGTAATGTCAGACTGTTGCTGCTGCCAAAGCTTGTAATGTGATATAATGTAATGCATGTCATATACTGTAGAAGCTGACACTAACAGAGTTGCCACACTTTGTCAGAGCTCTGGCCTCAGTATCCTGCAATACTGGCTTCATTATTCTTGTCCTTGATAAAATTCAAAGCAAAGTGGAGTATCTACTGAAAAAAAAATGACACGGATGTATTAATTGAGCTTGTATACACTCGCTGAGCACTTTATTAGGAGCAACATACTAACACTAGGTAGTTCCCTGCTTTACTCTCAAACAGAGTTCTTCATGTCATTGATTCCACGAGATGTTGTAAACCTTCCTGTGCACCAAGTTGACATGACTGCATCACTTCATTTCTGCAGACTTGTCAGCTGCACATTAGGCTACCTGAAGCTCCTGACTTGTATCTCCAGGATTTTATACACAGCACTGCTAACACATGATTGGATGATTGAAGTGATGATTGCATGAATAAGCAGGTGTTCCTAATAAAGTGCGCAGTGAGTGTACGTCGTATCTTACAACGTATCCATGGTATATGATTGGCTGCGTCAGTCAGAATACCCCAGACAGGAACTATGAGTCAAGAAAATTAATTCAAGCAATAAGATGTATGGAAGATGTAGTACATGTATACGTTTTATATGAGAAGGGAGGTGGTACACACGGACCTACGGCTGTGGCTCCAATCACTCGTCTTCACTGTATGAGTGGCGTTGCCCCTGGTGACGCGTCTCTATCTACTTTAGTCCCACCCACGCTTCTCATTCTCGACCCGTGATTGGCTATTAGCAGTAGCCCCGTGCCTCTGACTGGCTAGGCTGGGTGTCAGTTAGTTAGCTGGGTATATTTAGCTGATTACATTATCGGATCAGGTTTAACCTGCGGTCCAACAATATAGGGAGAAGTTATAGTTTATGCTATATTCCGGCCAACATTAGTCGCGGTGTAGTTAGCTAACTAGTTAACCTAACATCAACAGCAGCTTTTTTTTTATCTTAGTAGATCCTGGGTTTTCTGTGAGGACCGAAAACAGACGATTTGTGAAATGTCTTCAGACGAAGACAGGGCCAAGGAAATTTTGAAGGGCTTCAAACTGTATCCTTTGTGCTGTTTGTTTGCTGATGTTCTGCGACGATTAGAGGCACAGTAATGTGCTTAGTGACTGTCCTGTTAAACGCTGGATACCGTTATCTAACATTAGCAAGATGGTAGTAACATCTTATGACTGTAGTTGTTGTACAGTGAGGTTAGCTGCTGTGGCTAACCTGTCTGTCTGCCCTCTCATTTGATACAGCCGGTTACATAGATGATATGTGTCTTCATTTGATGTGACAAGATGAAGTGGTAGTTACGAAGCTAGCTAGTTAATGTATGAATGACGGCCTTATAGCTAAAATAAGTGGCCTTGCCCTGTGGCTAACCTGGTCGGCTAACTGTTCAGTGTAGCAGCTGTAACGGTAAATATCCTATTTAGCAGCAGTGACATACGATGGAGATAAGGTGAAGATTGAGCCAGGTGGTTGCCAGATACCGGTTGTTGTTAGTCAAAGTTTTAGTCACTGTTATGTTAGCTGGTAGCTGAAAGTTAAAGGCAGAATTGTTACTTGTGTTAAGAATAGCTTGTTTGATGGTTACGTACGTGTCGGAAGTTGTCAAATCCAGGTGAGTCCTTCTCTTGTTTAGAAGTGATGCCAGACCTCATTACAAATAAGTGTATTTCAACTCTGCACTGCTATATACAAGACTATATACACCACTGTAGCTTGAATGTGTTAGCCCACCCACCAAAAGTCGCGTATACTTTATATTACTATCGACAATTATCCGGTCGTGTTGTAAGGTTTTGAATGATTTTGTTTCTGTCAGAGGGAGAATAACGTCTGCTGTTATTACTATCAGAGTTTTGCTACTGTTGTCACTAAAGAGGACTTTCAAAACAAGAGAAATTACCTTGGAAAACCGTCATATATTCCCCAACACATCCACAGTAGGCACTCTTAATGTCTTAATTTTTGTTTTGGCTTTTTTTAATTTTTATATTAGATTGTGTGCAGGGGAGATGCCAATAGAAAGCATGGGAAAAGAGAGAGTAGGGTATGACATAACCAAGGCCTCAGGTTGGACTCAAACCTGTGATGTTGTGCTTGTGTGGTCATCAGAAAGCCCTGGCACTTATTTTTACAGTGTTGATAGTTTACTGATATCCCCCCCTGTTACTGCTCTTTACTTTCTCTTTGTGTTGTAGCACTACAACACTCTGACTCATCTGCTTGTGTCTGCTTGTAGTTTGACTTACGATGCATTGCTTGGGGTAAGATCATCTACTCCATTCATTTCCTTTAGTCGTTCATGCATGTAAGCCTATTAATTCTCTACCCAAGATAAATCACAAGTTTCTCTATTGTATTAGTGCAAAAGGAAGTGCATAGAGAACCGTTATTTTGTGTTTATGTTTTACATTTTAAACAGTTGTTTGCCTCAGTTTCCTTCCTCTTCTCTGTAATTGATCTGGGCCATGTTTCCCCCCCAAATGATCTAAGGCAAAGTTAATCATAGTCGTGTTATAAGGTGATGGTCTGAGATCAACTTAGCTGAAGATGTTTTGGTGGAAACAGCCCTGGTGGTTCTGGTGGACACTGGACAGTTGATGTGTGTGGTAGAGTAAAGCAGCTGTGTTATTGTCAGGCAAATCCAATCAACCCAATTACTGCAAACAGTATTGTACTACCACCTCCAGTACATGCTAATAGTCGTGCCATTATCGTAGTGGTGTATTTATGGTTTACTGTTGTGTAAATTTTAAAGATCTGGGGGAGCTACTAATAGAATAATAATAATAATATTTGCTAAAACAAACAAAAAAACTAAAGTCATTGAATACAATTGAATGCATACAAAAAATGCACAACATAAAATTTCAAAGAAAAGCGTGTTGCCATCCCCATGGTAACATATGCTAGCCGTAGGATCAGCCCTTCTTACCTAGGTATCAGTATGTATCTGATCAGGGAGTGACTGGGCCTTGCCTCTCTGCAAAATGATAGAAATAAACAACAACAGAAAGATTTACTGCCAAGCTTCCTGAAATGACATCCATGTTTGGAACAAATTCTGTCATCGGTCAATACTGTTTATTGTCAGAGTTGGCAGCAGAAACCCAGCCTGTCAGTGAATCAATGACCTGGAGATCCAAGGGTCCACACCTTGGAGAGCGGTTGTGACACACATGGGCCCAAATGATACTTTCTGTATGGTCACATGGGTCCATGAATGTTTGCATGTCATAGCTTTCTGTCATAGCATCTGTCCAAACTTATAAACATACAGACCATATGTGCCAACATACGTACTGTATGTGAACACATCTGTGTATGCACGCAGCTCATGTAGACCGTGTCTTTTTTGGTGCACATCCGCTCCTTTAAGCTGATTCACCTGAGCTGAACAGGAAAGTAGGAGGATGAAACAGAGAGCAGGCTGATCTATTGATAGTCCTAAACCTTCATCACACCCAAACAGAATATCATTTTACATCAGTTAAGTTTTGAGTTCAGCTCAGCTTTGTTGTGATTCAGAAGCTTTCAGACAGACAGTCACGTTAACTTGAACCTCTGCTGGAAAATATAACCCCAAGGCGAGAAGTTCAAGAGCTTGGAGTTGGCTAATCAGCAGCGTTTCCTTTGTCACTGTGACCTGCTAAAAGTTATTAGAAGTTTCACATTTTTCCCACTGCTACTATAAATCCCATGTTTTTAAATTGCCATTAATCCAGGAATATTGTGTTTTTAATCCTTGTAGAATAGATCAATTTACGAACGCAAACTGTAGGAAGCGTTGGTTAAGCCAACGTGGCGAGTTGATGCTTTCCATATTATTGTTGGACTTTGAGTTCATGTGACCATGTTGGACTGAATTATCCTCAGTAATACCTTCTAGAAAAAGCAGCAGGTATAGTCACCACAACAGGCCCAGCGCTTTCCAGCCAGTGGAAACATGACCATACAACAACAAAGCTAAAACTAAACTTTTAGTTTAGTTATTTAACTGTGTATGAAATATGTCCCCCTTCACTATCCCAGTCCGTACAAAAGAAGAAGGTATGAGTGTTTGGTAAGGACAGGCTTCTTGCTGTAATGTGGTAATACCTAAATCCATGATTTAGTGGAACAGGGATTTACTACCTTCTGTCCATACAGCCTTATGAAAGCCAACACAGAGGCTAAACAGCATATCATTTCCTTTTTTTCTCTTCTGGACTTTAACATCTACAATCCATAATCCTTATGAAGAACATACAGTATATAAGAAAATCTTTAAAAAGTGGAAATCTGTACCTTTCTAAAGCAAAGACAACAGATTGTCCAGTGTGCGAAAGCAGCACCTGCTATTGTCAGTTACTGGTAGTTTGGCTGAATTTATTGTCATTCTGAGATAGTTGAAGAAAAATACCTTGTTTTTTTTTTTTAATCAGAGAGGTTTGCACATTGTAAAAACAAGAGATGTCTTTGCTAAAAATAACTGAATCTGCACACTTCTTTTTAGCAGTTTAGCAGTAAGAAGCCCGTTTGTCTTTATTGTTTGTAGTTCAAAATGACTACAGAGAGAGAAGCAGGATAAATCAGAGCGCGGTACTCGCACCACAGTGTGAAAGCTTTTACCCTCCCCTTAGGTTTGCTCCATGGAGCAGGTTCACGAAGTTACCTGGATAACTCTGCTGTGTGAAAGAGACTGTGCAGTGTTTTACTCAACAATGTTCTTCGGATAACTCTGTTAAACCTGTTGTTGAACTGCATCCTCTGATGAAGCGGTTGTTTACTAGTGTCTGGATTGTTCTCATGGTTTATTGGCTGCAGATTAAAGGCAGAATATAAATCACTAAATGTAATAGTCTATTCTTATAAATAAATAATGTGTGTAAGGAAAAGGTTAATTACTTTCTGAAGCCTGTGTATTCTGGTCTCACCAAGGACAACTAACATTTGTTTGACCCTCTGGTGTGATCTTGTGTTAATGTGACGGCTTGTCTGTTAACTGGTTAATTAACAGAAAATTAGGAAATTAATGAATAGCTGTTATTGATGATTATTTATTAATCATTTATCAAGTGAAAACACTTTTCTGGAACATTGTGGTAATTTGCATTTGTAATGTTATTGATTCATTAATTGGAAAAAAAAATAGTCAGACTAATTGATAACAAATATGAATGTAAAGGTTTGTTAGTACGTTGTAGTTGCAGCTCAGCATGAGGCAAAGATTAACCCGGGAACAGCCCCACAGAGTTGATGGTGAGGTCAGAGAGAGTCAGAGTGCGTGTGTGTGTGTGTGTGTGTGTGTGTATGCGTGTGCGTGTGCGTGTGTGTGTGTTGGTGATTAGACTGTTGTGTCTTCCTCCTCTTCCTCACTGCCTGTCTGCAGCGTGACAGGATCGGCCTCTATTTGCTCTGTATCACAACATTGTAAATGCAGCAACACATTACAGCTGTTACTAGGGTATTACAAATAATAACAGAGGAGCCCTGAAAACCACAGGCACTGCTTTAAAATAATTTCTTTTGCTGAGTTGTTGAATATTGAATATTGATGACTGAATTGAAAACGTGCATCTGTTCAATAGAAGTGTGTTGGGGCTGTTGTTGTATTGGGGTTTGGATGCTACCTTTACTTTGAGCCATTAGTGCATCTTTAAAAATAAATGCAGACTAAACAGTGACAGCAACTTTTCACTGGGGGCTCATTAACTTTGTGTGTGTGTGTGTGTGTGTGAGCGTGTGCGTGCGTGCGTGCGTGTGTGTGTGTGCGTGTGCGTTCTGACAGATTTGTGTAGGCACCCTGGTGGTTTACACACACACACACACACACACACACACACACACATTCACAACCTGCAGCTGGCCCTGGGGAGGCCGCTGTACAACCTTGTGTGGTGTTGTTGAAGCTATATTAGATTTTATTTTGTGTAGTTTTGTGAGTAAGTGATTTGGGGGCGACTGAAGGAAAAGGTCACACATGATCCCAGTTGCCCACTTCTTTTGTTTAGACTAACCCACCTGGTGAAAGAGCATCAGTGAGTCGGACACTGCAGTCTGGCCTGGATTATTCTGGAAGGTGGGGAGGAGGATGATGATGTAGGAGATTGGATTTAGTTAGACTTGAGAGGATTAAAGAAACCATTCAACTCAGCACACTTTACTAAAAAGCCAGAGGGCAAGGTGGGGGAAGGTGGACGAGGTGGAGCTCTGCTATCAGTGGGATCTGACCTGTGGAGGTTTCTGATTGGCCAATACAGCACAGATAGACATGAGCTGAAGCTTCCAATAGTCCATAATAATGATTTTATATTGATCATTGAATTATAACTAGCAGCAATTCACTTTGAACTTCACTAATTATGTCATGTATTTCATGGTTTGCTGCTACATTGAATATGAACCAACATTGTTGTAGTACATGATTTGTGAAAAACATGAATGTGAAGATGTCGGTCATCTTTATATCGACACTAACACAAACTTTTCTTTAAAGGTTCATATTTTACACTTTGAACTGTTGATCCATAAGAAGATATATTTGTGGTTTTAAGAACCAAAAACCATCTCAGTGTAGTTTTACATCTCCTCTCTCAGGCTTCTCTCTGGAGCTCTAGTAACAACAGGTCGGTGAGCCAATCAGAAGAGAGGACGCTATGAGCCTCTCTTATGATTGGCTGACTGTTTTGTGAGTGATCTAATAAAAATATAGCAGATTTCAGGTATAAACACTCAGAGAAACCAAATCCTACCAGGTTTGGATGGTGGGTCCAGGTGCGCGAGGCTGAGAGCGGTGGCTGGTTTGTTGTGACATCACAAAGTTACAGAAGTCCTGACAGCTGGTTTTAAGGTTCAGTTTCCTAATTACAGGCTGTGTGCATTTCTCTGTTGATATTTTCACAGTATTAATATAGAACCTAGACCTGCTTTATAATCAAACAACACATGGACATCTACCTTTAGACTATATGGCACCTTTAACATGTCCTGTATCTTCTCCTTAATCGTTTTCTTTTATGTGTGATAAGTTGTGTCCTTTCAGTTGACTGTGTCTGTTAGTAATGTGTATGCAGCTCTCTCTCCTCTCTCATGCAACAGTGTGGACAGTAAGAGACCTGTGTATTTTGAGACAGTTGCTGGTTGTGGCGAGGTGGCGAGCGATGAAGGGTTTCACAGATGGTGTGGAGTCGAGTGTATGTGACACTAAGTAGTATCTGAGTTTGACAGGACACTGAGTGGAGAATCTTCTGGAACAGAGGGCTGTAGGATGATGAGTCTGTACTGGTGTCCATCAGTCTGATATCCAAAGACTAAATGAACCTTTCTCAGCTTCAGGCGGTGCTGCTGTCTTCCTCTGTGTCTTCATTGTACCGTGAGAAGTCAGACTTTTCAGATCTTACACACGCTTTAATGAATTTATGTGGTTGTACGTTTTTAAATGAAACAAAGCAGCAACACACTGAACTGCAGACTGAACTGTCGCAAGGCCTGGTCTCATGGTTAGTGTGGGGTCCTCGCTCTACAGCTTCACAGTGAAAAGGTGTGGACCTTGATGGGTCATTAGCTGTGGTGGTGCCCACACTGACTGTTGTTCTGACCGTGACCCCGGTTGTTCTGTTGAAACGCCTGTGAGGACGCAGCACGAGAAGCTGTAACGTGCAGCGGAGCCACTGACTCGGTCCTCGCAGGCTCTGTGATTGACAGCTGCATTGTGTTGGTAGTGAGTGTGGAGGTCAGGAACAGCTGACCCGCTGACAGACTGATGGGACAGCTAGCAGCCAGCATCATCCTCACAAAGGCTCCTTCAGCTTCCTCTCTCGCCTACACACTGCTGTCTTTAGGTTACGAGTTACCTACAGGTTCACAATATTTCTTTATTTATTGAAGCTGAAGCTTTCACCGACAGGAGTTTCTAAAGCAAAATATTTTTTGCTGGAAGTTTGGGGTTTGCTGGGAAGTCAGATTGTAGTGACTGATCGAATTAAACAGATATTATAAGATTAAGATGAATAAAGTGTGCATGTGTTCTTAAACATGCCTGTTAAACATGTCCTTTTAGTCGAGTTTTAACATCTGTCTCATCTGTACACAATTGACAGTCAGGTATCCACTCTTTTAAAGTTTTATTTATATAGCAACAAATCATAACAGAAGTTATCTCAGGACACTTTTCATATAGAGCAGGTCCAGACCGTACTCTTCATGATATCGATTATAGACACCCAACAATTCACCCATGGGTGAGCACTTGGCGACAGAGGCAAGAAAAAAAAACTTCCTTTTTAAGAGGCAGAAACTTCAAGGAGAATCAGACTCCAGTCGATCAGAGTCATTGATCATTGACCATTTAAAGAAATCACTTGAATATATCACAGCTTGAACTAAATGAAGGTGAACGACCTCAGGTCTGAGTAGTCACTTCACGTAAGATTCGGCCCTGCAGCTGCCACCAGCTGTGAAAACTCTACAGTCTGTGGTTTGCACTTGTTGAAAGTCATGATATATCTTATAGTATGTTGTGATTTTGATGTGAGTCATGATTTTAGGGGGAATAATCATTTTTGCATTTCATTTTAACTGAAAAAAAATATATATATATATATAAAAAACGTGATTTAAAGATGTGATTTTAACTGGCGTCAGAACCGAACAAGCACCTTCTCTTTCATCTGTAGAATATGATTTGTAGACTGGGGCGTCTCTGTAGCACCACTATGCATTTATATTACATTTATGAAGGTACATTGTGACACTTTTGTCTTCATCAAAAACATTGCAGCTCCTGCAATTTGGATATTGCACTTGGCCATATTGCAATTTCTGTTCCCATGGAAACCCATTTTATTTGTCTGCCACCTGCCAAACTGAAACTGAACATTAAAGGCTGCTCACTGAGAATACTGCAGAATAAACTAAGAGCTACACCTCTGTAATTCATGGGAACTCTGAGGAATAATCCGCTCATTTTAAATGTCTTGGTTTTACTTTTAATCCTTAAAATATGGAGTGATGGAAACTGCAGGTTGATGACACGTGGGTGTTATAGGTGTTGTTCACAGATTGTTAAGGCAGATCAGTCTGTTATTCCTGCAAGTGTTTCAAATATTTCAGTTCGTTTTGTATATTTAGTTTGGTTGTTGCCACTTAACCTCAAACCAGAAACTGGATGAATCTTCGAGATGCAGAAACGGGAAAAGTGCTGTGGCAGGGAACTGAGGACCTCTCTGTACCGGGAGTAGAACATGAAGGTACACTCACACACCAAACACCAAACTAGACACACACACACACACACACACACACACACACACACACACACACACACACACACACATCTTTGGATGTATAAGACGATCTGGTCCCTTTTTAACACTAAAGATAATGATAACTTCTGAGGACATTCAGCATTTGGTGATAAAAATGTGTCAGTGTTTAAGTGGAGCTAACATTGGACAGTGTGTAGTGGTACATAGTTACAGGCCTCCTTCATCAGGGTGCAGCCAACCAGTGCATCAAGCGGTGCCACACACATTCTCAGTTTAATCTGGGAAAGGTAACTTTAAAACAAAGTAGTTCTCTCTTGATCCAACAAGTAGCAGGTCCTGGATCCACGGCTCTGCCAGTGAATCTCTTTTGTACACTTTTGAAAACGAAGTTGATGTAGTTTTCACCACGGTTAATTATAGTTTCTCTGTCTCTCCAGCTCGCGTCCCGAAGAAGATCCTGAAGTGTAAAGCAGTGTCCAGAGAACTGAACTTCTCCTCTTCGGAGAAACTGGAGAAATTCAGGCTGGAGCAGAAAGTTTTCTTCAAGGGACAGTGTCTAGAAGGTAATGAGCCAAAACACTGATCTGTAGCACACATTTCTGCTAATGGTTAAAAGGCTAATCAAATAACTGTTATAATGTTTACCAAAAAGGTTTGAAAAGTCCATATTACAAGTCCGACCCACTGGTTCTCGGTTGTCTTTGTTCTCCCTGTTTGGAGGGAAAGGGCTTACATACAGATGGGTGGGGTTATTGGAATGATGGGTGATTTGCAGGCAGGTATTTGCAGGTATTAGATTTGCGATTTAACACCTCATCTACAAATAGGAGAAACATTTTCATTCACTGAAAAACTCATTTTTTAATGTCTTTGTTCGTCATCTGGGACGTGAAGACAGTAGATTTCAATAACATACAGTCACAGAAAGTAAAAGTTAACGTCTTGGTTGTTGCTCAGTTATGAAATTTTATGTGTTATGTGTGTTATGAAAACACACTGCGGAGTGTCTGCTGAGGGAAGCAGAGCAGCCAACAGAAACCTCCTTCATCACCCGTCTCTACTTCCATCACAGTTTGTCTTGTGGTTGATTATTGTGACACAGCTTTAAAAAGTGCAGTGACTGCGGGTCCCCTTGACTGATGCATCCTCTCTTTTAGGGGACAGCCCTGATGTGAATGATAGAGGATGAGTGTCAGCCTGTTATGAAGAACTTGAGTGGCTAATACCTTGGCCATCAGCATTAAGCAGACTGAGGGGGGGGGGCTGTGTTTCTGCTGAGACATGACTCAGTCCAGCAGGATGAAGGCAGCCTCCCTCAGCTGCTGTGTAACACCTGCCCCACCTTTACTGTTAATCTTTCAAAGCGCACCTGCTGCATCACTTCAACAGACAGCTCAGTCAGCCGTGTGTCTGTGTATGTTGTCAGTGTTGTGACTTCTGTGTTACTGAGTGTTTGAAGCGCTGTCCCCGGGGGCCCTGCTGTACGGAGGTGAGGCTGCAGAGAGCCCCTGGGGGGGGACAACACACAACCCACACCAACACAACATGTTTGTGTTGCCGGTTTCTACCAGAGAAAGAGACACATGTGGGCCAACAAGTAAAGGAAGTGAAGTTTGGAATATGAGTGTGAGTCAGGAAGATCGGTGATGTAAATTAGGGATCGATAATCGGTGGTAATATTCAGCAATTTCCGATCGGTATCATTATTTTAACGATAACCGATAAAATAAAATATCTGAGTAAACAAGTTACTGTGTTACAGTTTAAAAGGCGGAGGGTTAAAACATGTTATTTGGTGATATTATTAAAGAGCAGCTTCAGGTTACCAGGTGAATCAGTTCCCAGGTGAGAACAGCACCGAATTAAACCAATTAATTCCAGCCAGGCTCTTTGCAGCCTGTGCATACAGCTGATAATTACTAATATACACTCAGTGTTCAGTTTATTAGGAACACGTAGGTAAAACTGATGTAGTGTAATACAACAGTCCTGCAGTAAATCCTCTTTCATGAAGATTATAATGATCAGTTTGTATTAAAACTCTTGTTGATGATCATTGTGGAGGATGTAGTGTGTGGAGCTGTGTTACATTATACAGAGGTGTTTCTGTTATTTAACCTACATTCATTGATATAAATGCACACACACACACACGGGCTGATATCGTATCAACACTGAGCTCTTCGCCCGTCTGTCTCTCTCTGTGCAGAATGGTTCTTTGAGTTTGGTTTCGTCATCCCCAACTCCACCAACACATGGCAGTCTCTGATAGAAGCAGCTCCAGAGTCCCAGATGATGCCAGCCAACGTTTTAACGTGAGTCTCCACTCCACTCATCTTTCCTCCGTGCTGCTGACACATGCAGCATATCTTAATCTCATCTGTGCCGTGTAATCCTCTACAGCTGTGCTGCAGTTTGAATCGCACATTGTGCCATAATGAACAAGCTAAAGGTCACAAAACAAGTGAAATGTACCTGTTTTACCTGTTTGATGTGAATGTAATGCTGCAATTTATTATGATTTATGATGATATGATATTATGATCATTTTTTGTGAAAATATTGTAAGATTTGACAGATTTGTACAAGTTTAGAAAAACGATCAGGGAAGTTTTTATAGATTAATTCTGATTTATTACATCTTCAGGTATTTTCATAGTTTTGTTCATCATTATATCAGTAATAATGAGACTGAACACGGTGACATCACCAGAATAAACTGATGGGTCATACAGGTTTGGAAGAGAAAACAGGTGAATGGTGAAATGATCTGCTCAGGTTACAGACCCACTTCCTGTTTCTGCTTTCTGCTGCTGTATTTACTGTGTGAATCTGTTTTTATGGTGCATTGTGGGATTTTTTGTGACATTTATTAAACTGAAAGCGGTTTGTTTGGAGCTTGTCTAGTTAGTGGAGTCATCATGGTTATGTCTACCTGCTGAGTTCAGTGTTGTCATAACATATCATAACAGCTTTAAAGGGATAGTTCAGGTTCTTTGACCTGGGGTTGTGTGAGGTCATGCATAGTCGGTACATTACCTGCAGTAGATCCTGATGCTCGCTCCCAGTAAGGAGATGCAACCGGGAGCACCGGCAGACTAGCAGAGCGATGTGCTGCTGTGCGCAGGGCCACTGGAAAAAACGTGTTTTAGACACTTTTAAAAACACCCACCGAAACAATCCAATATCCGTTTAAATGTGCGCTTCATTACGCCACTTTCTGATTCTGATGTGTAGGAATACAGTAGTTTAATGTTTGAAAAAAATGTAGTGCCAAGGGAAAGTGCTGAAAATATTCGACATGAAGCTACATTTACAAGGATATTGGATTGTTTTGGTTTTTAAAAGTCTCTAAAACACGTTTTTTCAAGGTGGCCGCCGCCCGCAGCAACACATCGCTCTGCTAGTCTGCCGGTGCTCCCGGTCAGATCTCACAACTGGGAGTGCGCTAAACAGAATCTACTGTAGGTCATGTACCAACTATGCATGGCTACCTCACACAACCCAAACCCAAGCTATCCCTTTAAAATTTTCCTTTAACTTTGTGTTGATTGTTGCCTTCACAACAGCAGAAATTCACACATATTTAACACCATGTTTTAAAGTTGATGTGCGCCTTTGTGTTCCAGTGGTAATGTGATCATAGAGACCAAGTTCTACGACGACGACCTCCATGTCAGCACCTCCAGGGTACGACTCTTCTACGTCTGACCTCTGACCCACGGCTCTACCTTCCAAAATGCTGACATCCTGCCAAGGTCTATAAATAACAGAGGTTAGCTACAAATTGCAGCAGTAAACAGTTCATGGCTGACTCTGGATCAGCACATTTGGGTGAAGCCCATCTGTGGTCCCACAGTCAGTGAAGTGAGATTTGTGTTTTGGTTGTTCTCTTGTTTTGTGCTGACCTGAAAACTTCTTCTAGACCTTGGGAGGAGAGGGAAGAGGAGGAGAGAGGACTCGGTCGTTCCCCCCTGTTCCAAGATCATCTCTCTATACCACCCCCCCAACCCCCCACCCTCCACCCCCCCAGACTGTTCCATTGTAAATACATAACCACTGATCTCAAGTCAGCCAGGGAGCCACTCACTCATGACACAATTTGTGCTTTTTTTTTTAATTCTGCCCTCCCTCTCCAAGGTTGCATTTACTCAGGAACAGAACATTAGACGTGTAACCTTCTGTGATCTGATCTTCTTCTGTCTGTCTGAACATGGAAACACCGCTCCCCACGTTTCGTCCATTTAGACAGGAGCTGCACATCCGTCTCGAGGGAAGACGCAGCTTAGTGTCTCTCCTGAGCTACGGTCAAGAAGTTTTCACCGTAAAACAGTCGATAACATTTCCTCCAGCTGTGTCCCATTCCAGAGGCTGCCTCCACTTCCTGATCAGACTGTCCCAGTGAAATGAGTCCGAAAATTGTTCTATTACCAGAGGAATGGAAGTTATGTGGATTTATTTGGACATATCAACTCTTGAAATTTCCACTTTTATGAATTGATGAGGGCTTCCTGAATGCACTGTTAATGGTGGTCTCTGTGAGGCCAAGCTGGTGGAGCTGCTGATGTATCTTTAGTCGTCTGAAGGGCACACCTTTGCTGGCAGCCTCTGAAGTCGGACACGGCTTCTACCAACCAAACCTGTCCTGTTTTCTGAGCGCACAGAGTAGAGTAGAACAGGGGTTTTCACTGTAGAGGACCGCCTGTCCACCAAGACAGCCTCTGGTTCAACTGGACTGCTTCTTGTCTGTATTGTTTGAAATGAAAACCTGCACGCTGTTGCCATGATGACACGAGCTCGACCAGGAAGTGTCTGAGGGACGTTCATCAGCAAACACAAGGGGGTTGTAGTACATACATGTATGTGCTTGTACTTGACTTTCAGAGGTGTACTTACATAAAACATTCAACGCTCAACTAAATCCTCATCGGGTGTTGACCGAGACATGCATCATTTCTTCTCAGTAGCTCACCTGTCAATAATTTTATCCCAACTTGACCCAGATGTTAACAGCCGCTTTAGGTGTTTAACACAGCTCTGCTCGGTACATCCTGGCTATAGATTTTTAACTTTGACTTCCCGTCCAATTCACTGCATTTATGTCATTGTTTGTTTTTTTCCTTAGCTGCTAACTGAGCTGTGTAAAATAGAATTGTTTTAATATGAGAGGAGTAGTGGATTAAAGTCATCCAATGTTGTAATAACATAATGTGCGTCTGCTCTTTATTGTATTGCTTTCAAATAAGTTTACCTGTACCTTATTTGAAAGCATGTGTGGGTTTATTATGTTAATGTTAACACAGTGACAGAAATGCATTGACACCTGACACTTTGGAAACACAAGGCGGCTGCTGTGTGAAATTAGTTTAGCTAAACCGCCACCCTCAGGAACTTAAAGGAAGTGGCAGTGTGATTGCACTGTTTAAAGAAAAAATCTGTTTAGGTTCGGCTGAATGATTTGTATCGGTTAAAATCACCAGTCAAATAAGTATCCAAACGCAAATGTAACATTTGTACATATATTGAATTTGCATATATGAAATATATGTACATACAAAATTAAAACACATGTAAAAATGATATATAGAAGATTGAAAATTGGAATAATTTCATATATTTACATATATGTTTAGCCTATACAAATATGTATGTTTATGCATGTATGTAGGCTTACATTGAAGACATATGTCCATCCCAAAGCCTGTTAATATATGTTGATATTATATACAGTTGGGTCCAAAAGTCTGAGACCACTTTCCCAGGATGGGAAGAGCAACATGTTTAAAATTAATGAGAAAAACACATATAAGCATATATAATTTTTATATGTATGTTATTTTAATAAACTTCCCTATATAAATTAAATGTATATCATTAACCTGTACTGTATGGCCACAACATGTTATACCATGTAAATATTAATCATAGACATTTTTGATATATGTAAATATACATATTTTATTTATTTCAGTCCTGTTTGTTTTTTGTTTGTGGTTTGGGCAGGAGTGTCATCAATAGACTGTAGTGTTAAATAAAAAAAACATTCTCATGAAAGTGCAGTCAGACTCTCCTCACTGTGGTTGTCTTTTCGTAAGTTCTTATGAATTCTCCTTTTTTTTATTATTAATTATTACAAATGCACAGGAACATTATATATATGAACAAGCATGAACACAGTAAATGGGCAAATAGTTCATCAGAATAAGTAGATGTATAAACAAATATACAGCTTAACAACCAAAGGAAAATAAGAAAATAAAAAATGTATAAAAATAAATTGCCAGGGGGTAAATTTAAAGTATAAATATGAATAGTAATACTGAAAATATTAATTAGGAAAGGAGGTTATTTTGACTTTTCGACCGTAGCTTTAGTTTCTGGTCCACACTCCAAAGCAGAAGGTGGCGGTAATGCACCTACAACACCAGGTTGCCAACCCATTTTAAAAAGGAGGAAGAAGAAGAACTACGTATCCCAGTAGTCTTTGCGGTCTACGAGTCGGGGGGTGTTGACTCGACCTTGGAGTTTGACGTGCAGCAGCATGGCGAACAAGGAGCCCAATGTGAGTGTTTTAAATGTTAAATTATTGAATTAACTATTTTTTTTCCCACGGTGATGAGCGACGTGTTTATCTGTGACTAAAATAACGAACGGTCCGTTAATGAGTTAACGTTAGCCCTGTTAACCAGCTAGCTGTTAGTTAACGTGGGCAAGTGTTAGCCAGGTCAGTTAGCATGTCGCTCAAGTTGTCTCGTGCGCCGCTAAACTTCACAACCAACCGTCGTTTTTGAAAAGGTCGTATCTTGACTTGACCGTTGGTGGCTGTTAACAGACTAATATCACATACTGGTACAAACAGACAGAAGAGAGCGGGTCTGTAGGCCTTGTTCTATTCATTCAGTCCGCTCAGTCAGTTTTAAGGTGATTCCAGACCGGTAAATTCTCCCCGTTTTACCTGGACAGAGTCTTTGTTATACACATTCTAATGTGAGGCAGACTGTAATGAACTGGACAGCTAGGCTACACATACACAGTGTTGATTAATAATGTGTGGTTGTTTTTAAATGAAAATGCTGGCTCATTCAATTCTTGTTCTTGTTTGCTCTTTTAATATCAATACGCGGTGCATTGTGGGTCCCCACCAGCAAATCTTGCAGAGGTGTGGACTCCTGGAAAGTGTACAGCAGTCCGTGACAGAACCCTCAGACACCTTACTGAATTAGACCTGGGCTGAGATGTTTATGTTCACTATAATTCCATTCAGAAATAACACAATGACAGAATGTATGATGATGTATGACTATTTCAGTCGTGGGTTTCAAACACTTTCTGTAATAAAACATCTAAATGTAAAAATCTTATCAGGTGGTGGGGGTCTGTGGTCTAATTTGTGTCAGTTCAGGATCCTTGGTGTGAACCACTGCTCTAAATCATCATCTGGAGTGATGTCAGTTTCCGATGATGATGCTGAATCACCTATCGGTCACCTGTCAGTCTGCAGGTGTTGACATGCCTTGGAGTTTGTATTTGATAATCTAATGTGCTGTTTAAATAATAATAAGTGTGCACAGTTACTACTGCCAACATATAAAAGTAAGAAATATCAACTAATACATGTTTACTATTAAAACTGTTATAAGAATCTGCATTTTCATTAGAAACCTACATTCTGTAGGATTTGATTCATTTTCATTCAGAACTTCAGCCCAAAGTGATGTCTTAAAATTTTCCAAGACATTCGGTTCATGATGACCAATCATTTCAGTGCTACTGTAGAGTCACCCCCTCCTGTACATGACTGTGATCTTATGTTATATTCTCTCGCAGCGTTTCGTCCAGCACCTGAGGGATCTGGCAGGCCGGATGTCTTCGTCTGGTGGCAGAGGGGCAGGATTAGGACTGAAGCTGCTGTTGGGAGCTGGTGCTTTGGCATATGGCGTTAAAGAAGCTACCTACACAGGTAAACACACCTGTACAGAACTTTCACACCAAGCTCTCAATATGTGACAGACAGAGGTTCATGTCCCCAGATGGCACAGATGCACTGAACCTAGATAATGGCAGCAAATACAGTAATTAACAAACCTGCAAAGTAAGAAACAAGTTTGTAAATTTGACAACGCAGACACAATATAAAGAATTGCAGGGTTGGGTTTTATCAATTCCAGTTGTGTTTATTGATTCCAGTTCTTATTGATTACCTGTTTGGATTCTTAATAGTAAAAAAAAAAAACAGCTCAAAAGAGGTCAAATATTTATATGACAAAAATATCTTTTATCTTTTGAGCATTAACTGAACATTCAAACTAGTATTTACTAAATACCTACAATAAAAACATGATGATCAACAGACGTGTAATAGATAATAGATATAGATCAATCTAGAGCAGGTTATTAAACTCACTAGTAGTTGTTTTAGAGAGCCCATCTGAGTGTTCTGGTGACAAACACATGGATCTTTATTTGTCCTATACATACTAGTCTAATCCAGAGGTCACTTTAACAATCAAGACAAACAAGAGTGAAAGGGATGACACTCTTGAATCGAGACATTTCAAGAAGAAGATTGAAATCAGAAAAAAATTCTGACAAAAATATTTGACTGGGTGTATTTTTTTTTTTTTTTTTTTTTTTTTTTTTTTTTACGTGTTCCCAGTGTTTGGCATTTTTGATTTGGTTTTAGTTTAATTTTAGTTTAGTTTTTAGTTTAGTTCAAATTTCCAAATTGCCAATAAAGAAAACACGAGTAATTAAAAACATCCACTCATCATGTTAAACATTATTTGCTCATTTTCCAACACCACTGATGAGGAGATGANTTTTTTTTTTTTACGTGTTCCCAGTGTTTGGCATTTTTGATTTGGTTTTAGTTTAATTTTAGTTTAGTTTTTAGTTTAGTTCAAATTTCCAAATTGCCAATAAAGAAAACACGAGTAATTAAAAACATCCACTCATCATGTTAAACATTATTTGCTCATTTTCCAACACCACTGATGAGGAGATGATGGTTCCTTTCTTACAGAGCTGTTGCATTAGACTCCATTCTGTGCATCACATGCGTGTGTCTCAGTTGCTGTGAACTGATTTAGTTGATAAAATGGAAGTTTATCTGTTCTGTGATTTGGACAATTGATGACATCACTCTTGACAAACATCAAAAATGCTGTAATTTGCCATTTTAGATTGACACTGAGTCCACAAGTCTCTCGACTTTCGTCTTCATTTATAGTGTTTTGATGACAATGGTGGAGAGCACCGTCTAACATATCGGTCAAAAATCTCCCATAGTTCAAGTGGGTTAAGATCTGGTGACTGAAGGCCACAGCAGATGACTCACATCATTTTCATATTCACCAAACATTCAGTGACTCCTCATTGCTGGTGGATGGAGGCACTGTCGTCCTGTTCATCCACTCATCTTCAGATTTTTCTTGTATCTTGTATAACTTGTAACCTGTCTGTGTATATTCATCTGATATTCTTTGTGTGTGTGTGCAGTGGAAGGTGGTCACAGAGCCATCATCTTCAACAGGATTGGAGGGATGCAGATGGACACTGTTCTGGCTGAGGGGCTGCATTTCAGGTGGGATCGGTTCATTAATTAACTTATTTGTTCCAGTATCTGTACTGGTCTGTCTGACTATCATGGATTTAATTGGTGTCACAATCACAGGTTGTCATTTTTGATTGGTTGCCAACCTAAAGATGGCAGGTCCTGTGTAACATGACAAGTCTGTGGGCAGAGTAGACCAGAGCGGGCTAGTGCAACCACAGTTACTCACTCTGCTATAAAGTCCAGATCAGTGGAGAGCTGCGGTGATGGTTTTCCTTCTGGAAGTTTCTCCATCTCCACACAGATTCTCTGGAGCTCAGCCAGAGAGACCATCAGGTTCTTGGTCACTTCTCTTACCAAGGCCCTTCTCCCCTGATTGCTCAGTTTGGCGTCCAGCTCTAAGAAGAGTCCTGGTTTTTCCAAACTACCCCCATTTCAGAATGATGGAGGCCACTGTTCTCTTAGGAACCAGATCTGAATCCTCTCTCTGAGCTCCGCAGGCAGCTCCTTCCTCCTCATGGTTTGTCCCCTGATGTGCAAGCTGTGAGACCTGATATAGACAGATGTGTGTCTTTCCACATCATGTCCAATCAGCTGAGTTTATCGCAGGCGGACTCCATTCAAGGTGTAGAAACATCTCAGAGAAGACCAAAAGAAATGGAGGCACCTGAACTAAATCTCAAGAGTCATAGCAACAAGGCGGCAGGCACAAGGGGGAGAGGTTGAGACAGTGATGGACAATAAACCGTGACCTACATCTCTGAAGTATTTTGGTTTAGTTTCTGACACAGTCTGTTTGTTCACCTATATTAACTGAAACCAACACTGAGCTCAGTAAGAGGATTGGACCGGGCCACTCCAGCCACGCAGTTGAGTGAGTGATGCTGCAGAAGAAGAGTGACGCCACAGTGGACAGTGGTTTGAGCTCATCAGGGTTGAAGGAGAAGGAGGAGAAGGCCTGCATCCTGTCTTTGTCATTGGCATTCAGTTTATGTTGAAGCCAGTTAGTAGCAGGTTTCAGACAGAAGACTCTGGTGATTAAATCCTCTAGACCTAAAACAGATCATCGTACCAGAACTACCTGACATGACACCAGTGTCTCTGTTGTAGGATCCCCTGGTTCCAGTATCCCATCATCTATGATATCAGAGCCAAACCCAGGAAGATCTCCTCTCTGACTGGCAGCAAAGGTAACAAACACTGGAGACACGCACGCACGCACGCACGCACGCACGCACGCACGCACGCACGCACGCACACACACACACACGGTTGTCTGAATGTACCCATCTGTGTTGTGATGTTGTGTGACTGGGTCATTCCCTCATGTTATGTTTTCAGTCTGTCTGTCCCATTCTTGTGAACATGATATCTCATCTAATTTACCACAATCGTTCACGTGGACTCAAGAATGAACTGATTACATTTTGGTGGTCAAAGGTCAAAGGTCACTGTGACCTCACAAATCACCTTTGTGGGCCGTAACTCAAGAATTAATGTTATTTTTGACAAAACACACTTAATATCTTTTATTAAATCCCTTCAAAGTGTTCACAACATGTATTATGAGTCTGGACAGACATGGATGTAAACTGTGAATTGGTGAACATGGTAATTCCAGTCTAAAAAGTTAAAAGTGGAGTTAAAAGCTAAAAGTTAGAGTTAGACATCTGTATTTCAGGAAATACAACGCAGGAACGTGACATCAGAAGACAACTTTTAAACTCTTTCTGTATGACAAAACATCTTGAGAACCCTGTTATCTGCAGCTTCATCTCGCAAGGCTCAGAGGGAGTGAATATGAATCATGTGGATTCAAAAATCAAACGCATTTTGTGGTGATTCACAGTAGAATTAAATAGAATTAATACAGAGATCGTATCGATATAAAAGACTTGAGAAGTAAGTTTTTGGTGTAGACATGGTTTGTACCAGAAGAGGGCGCTAACATGACCACAGATGAACATCAGCTGTTGGCATTTAAACAAGTTAGTGTATCTTCATATAGATAGATATATATATATATATATGTTTGTGTAGATCTGCAGATGGTGAACATAGCGGTGCGAGTGTTGTCCAGACCCATGGCGTCCAACCTCCCGGTCATGTACCAGCGGCTGGGGAAGGACTACGACGAGAGAGTCCTGCCCTCCATCGTCAACGAGGTCCTGAAGTCTGTGGTGGCGAAGTTTAACGCCTCGCAGCTCATCACACAGAGAGCTCAGGTACTGCTGTCACCACGGCAACATCTCTGTGTACTGTATGTATCCCTTTCAATCAATTAATCTCAACCAATTAATGTAACAATCAACTGCCACAACATATTGAGAAGTTTATAACGTACAGAGTACAACACAATCCAACAACATAAAACGACAAACCTCCTGTGTGATGTTGTTGTCGGTGCAGTGTTGAGTGTTGTTGGTCTGTATTGTTGTGTAGGTGTCCCTGCTGGTGCGCAGGGAGCTGTTTGAGAGAGCCCAAGACTTTAACATCATTCTGGACGACGTGTCCATCACCGAGCTGAGCTTCAGCAGCCAGTACACCGCTGCAGTGGAGGCCAAGCAAGTCGGTAAGGCTCAATATAACACAGTCATGTCGTCAGCCAGTGTGAGCCAGTCTGCTGCCTGTTTGTTATGACGCTCAGACGCCCCGTTAATCTGAGACTGTTTTAATTTAAACACTTGTTAATTGAAATGTTAATTACAAGTAAAGGAAAGCTCATATTTAAAAGGGGTTCTTGTTCAAAGGGATAGTTGTGGTGTTTTGACGCGGGGTTGTGTGAGGTAGTCATATATAGTCGGTACATTACCTGCAGTAGATTATGATAAGCGCAGTCCCAGTTAGGAAAGCCGGCAGAGCGGTGTGTGGCTGTGGGCGGGGCCACGAGAAAAAACGTGTTTTAGACACTTTTAAAAAAAACGCCCAACTGAAACAATCCAATATCCATTTAAATGTAGCTTCATGTAGAATATTTACAGAAGTTTATCTTCTCGCGTACTTTCCTCCAGTTCTACATTTGTTCTGATTCACTCAGCTGACCTGCGGCTGCAGCATAATACAGTGCACTTCATAGGTGCGGTTGTGCGTAGCAATACGGTGGTTCAGCAGTTGAAAAACTACAACGCCAAAGGAAAGTGCTGTTTTTACGGGAGGATAAGCTGCTGAAAATATTCTACATGAATCCACATTTAAACGGATTCAGCTGGCGTTTTAAAACTCCGCCGGTGACCCCAATCAGCTTTCTTAACCGGGACCGCGCTCATCATAATCCGCTGCTGGTAATGTACCGATTTATATACAACTGCCTCACACAACCCCACGCCAAAAAACACCCGAACTATCCTTTTAATGTCCAGATCAGCATCAGTATTGGGGCACGAAATGTTGCTTCAGTCTAATGGAGACAGCAGATATTCACATATATATTCAAGAACTTTGCAAAATAAGCAAATAGCAGTCAGCTCGTTGAGTCCCAGCTGTTTAACCTGCTGTAACATGTGGTCAGTGTTCACAGAAAGGGGCAAAATATTCATGAAAAAGTCTCTTTGTAGAAATGTTTACCTCTGAAAATTGCTTCTTTTTTTTTTTACTTTGGAAGTTTTTGAAGAATCACAAAGTTTATATAAGAAGAACTTTATCATTGATAATGTGTGTGTGTGTGTGTGTGTGTGTGTTTAGCCCAGCAAGAGGCCCAGAGAGCCCAGTTCTATGTGGAGAAAGCCAAACAGGATCAGAGACAGAAGATCATCCAGGCTGAAGGAGAGGCTGAAGCTGCCAAAATGGTGAGTGACGAGCGACGTGGTTCTCGCTGTCACACTGAGAAATAATGTGAAAGCTCTGACATGCTGTATGAATGTCAATAACTTGTTAACTGTGTGTGTGTGTGTGTGTGTCAGTTGGGTCAAGCGGTGACTAAGAACCCAGGTTACCTGAAGCTGAGGCGAATCAGAGCGGCACAGACCATCGCTAAGACGGTTAGCTCTTGTTTTTATCTCCTGTTGCATCATTTCTGTCTGTTCACTTTGATTTTAACTTGATTTTGAATAAACTTTAAATTCTGTGTGAGTACTGCAGAATGAGCAGCTGAAAAAGTCATTGATGATGATGATGGCTGATGTGTCTCCTTCCAGGTGGCAACATCTCAGAACAAGGTGTACCTTAACGCTGAAAGTTTGGTCCTGAACTTACAAGACCAGGTGTCTTTTAACAAGTAGGTCTTCTCACACTCACTCTCTCTAAACATCTCCTAACACGTGACATCAGGGCAGTCACTCGGCCTTTAGTTACTAACCTCCTTTTCTTGGTAGAATCCATGATGTTTTTATAGATACAGAAAGGGAAGAGGGTTAATCTCATCATGTAGCTGAAAAGCAGAGTTAAAATACTCGTTGGTCCCCTCCCCTCCCCTCCCTGGTTGTACTGCGACAGTAATGAGCTTCAGACTGTTTTAATTCAAATTGTCATATAAGACCACCTGTCCCACGTTTGTGTTTGTCTGTTTCATTCACAAAAACACGAGCGACGACTAAAGAGAAGACGATGTGTCGACAGTGTCAACTCGCTTCTGTAGAGGAGCGAGTCGTCGTTAGAAAATATTAAAGAGTACAGCTGCTAGACCAGACTACATGAAGTTAGATGTTAAGAAACTATGAGCTAAAATTAGGCTTAAAAAGATTTTAAGCAGGTAAATAATTCCAGGTTTGTGATTGTAAATAAACTTAAAATCTGTAGGTTTCTGCTTCAAGTTTGTACATGTGAAGAAAAGATTTTTATTTGTTAAAAAAACAAAAACAAAACAGACTGTGTGAATAAATATGAATGCACTGTAATAGCATACATGGTCAGAATGTACAGTAACGTCTAGTTTATCCAGATGTGAAATGTGGTCTGAAGAAGTCTGGAGCAGATGTTGTACCGTGTGCAGCAGTGTGACTAATGAGCTGCTGTTTTACAGTTTGTCTCTGGGTCCAAAGAAGTAATGAAGAGGACGTGGAGAGAAGCAGCAGAAGTTTCCTGTCGTCAGCTCCATCTGAACACTCAGCTTCACCTGTTGCATTAGAGAATCAACATACATGATTCTAGACACGTCTGAATGTGGACAACAACAAAGAAGCAATTACATTTTTTTATGTTTATTTTTTTTTTTCCTCTGACATAATATATAAGACTTTAGGGAGTGGCCTGTATTATCCTAAAGTTTTGTGAATGAATTATTGACGTGATCTCATTTCAACTTGGCAGTGAACAAATCAAAGACGTGTCAAACAGAAAGTACTTCCTGCACAGGATCAGTGTGTAAAGGACTTTCATGAAGAAGAATTAGTGCAACAATACTTGAGAATATTTAGGAGATCAGTGTCTTCTGTCAGGACGAGCTGCCAGGTCTCATGTCCAAAAAATCAAACAAGATATCATGTATTAAATGACGTATATTTCACTGCTGTGTTCATCTCCCAGAGTTGGTCCTGATCTGGCTGCCAGTCCTTCCTCTGCTCTACACACATCTCATCCTCACAGGTTTGACACTGGAGTGTTTGTCAGGGGTGTTACACACGTTAGGAGGTGTGTGTGGATTCATGCAGAAAACCAGATAACACAGCCAGTGTTGGCAGACCAACTTAATACTAATTTATCTGTTAATAAACTTTTGTTTTAAGTACATGTTGTTGTATCTTAGCGTTCTGATTTTATTGAGTTTAGCTTAAAACATCAGCTAAAGTAAATTGTACATTGAAAATAATCCACTCACTGATGTGTGTGTCCATCATGGTGTCAAACTGTTCTTTTCTTTTTTCATATGTTTGTTTATCATTGTCATATTTCTCCAGAAGAATGTGATTCTCCATCTTGATCATTGTGACTAAAGACAGAGTCTGGAATCTCTTGACCAATCAGAAAGAGGGTAAAGGGTAAACCTGAATAAATAGATAAATAGATGGTTTTGTATAGGACACAGAGGCGCCATCAAAACATCAGATGAGAGAATATCTCTTGGACGATTGTTCAAATTGAAATTAAAGAAAGGCTTTATTGCTTTTCCTGTGACATCCCTGCTCCTCCACGATGTTCACGAGTACGTTCATCTGAATGGATCGTTATAACAAACGGACTGCAGGACAAATGTGCTTTAAAATCTCACAGATAGCAGCAGGTTTATCAAATGTTTCAGCTATGACGTGTTTTGGTTTGTAGTAAATGTGTTAAAACGCTTCAACCTTTACGATCAGGAGTAATTGAACGCAGCATGAAGGTGTATTGATGTTTCATGCTGGTGGGAGACTCGTGAGCTGCAACAGGAGGTCAGACCCTTGAAGTCTGAACAAACTGGTACACAGCTGTCCTGCTGGAGGGAACACGGAGGAACTATTGTTGACCACGCTCATGTCTTTTGGTCTCAATTCCATAGAAGGAAAATAACAACAAACAAAAAGCAAACAGAAGACATTCCTCGATACTCGGACAGTTGCGTACAGGTTGCAATGCTGCAAAGCTCAGTTCAGGGATGGTTAAGGCTGAAATAAATAATACCATTTTCAGAATCGGTTACCCTACACATACAGCTTTCCACACTGCCTGTGGACGTCCTTGTCATCTGATAGGTTATTCGTAATGTAATGTCCTAAATATTTGATCTCATTGCACTCCTAAAGAGGAATACCAGCTTCTAACAATCATAGTATTACTCAAAATCTAGACCATACTGTGAACATGTCCTCAATAACTGTTGAAGACCAGCAACACATGGACTAAAAATCACCAAATCATCTGCATAAGGGGAATACCAGACAGGAAGATGGACTAAGCAAAGATGATACCGACTATCTCTTAAAGATTATGTGGGCAGCAAGTAAAAAAGCTGTAACAAAATGCCGGCTTCAGGAGAACTTCCCTCTGGCTGGACTCTTTATCAATATTGTCAAACATCTTCTAGAACAGGTGACTGACTCCAAAAAGAACTGGGAGAAAAACGATGAAAATGCTGTTTATTCAGCAAATGAGACTGATTCTTTATAAGTATTATATGTCAAATTTCCCTTGACTCAGTGACCATCCCATGAGCTCCTCCTTTTCTTCTGTTACTGTATGTGTCTTCCCTGCTTGTGTTTCTCATAACGTGAAAAATATTCATCAATATAAAGTTAAAAAACAAACAAACAAGAAGTCGGACCCTCGTCATACTTGTTGTCAACTCGCTGCCAAATTCTCAAAGTTGAAAATAAGTGAAAATGTCTGCAGCTCCAGGCTGAATGTTGACTGCTCTCTGGTTCTAACTGGTGCTTCACTGGTGGCGTTTGCTGAAGTGTGCACATTACTGGAGAGACACATTGTCAGCGGTTTGGTGAGGAGATCCTGGAGGGCTGATACTTGCAAATGATGCTCAATGTTTTCACTACAAATATTTGGTGTTTACTCAGAATCAGTCTACACTCCATCAGGACTGACACGTCTGAAATGAGTCTGTTTTCACAAGAGATCGTGTTGTTCTGCTCTTTATTAGTGTGTATCCATGTCATCAACATGGAGCGACACGAGGAGAGAGAGACAACTGTTAATGTTGTAGTTAGTTTCATGTTATTTATGGGTTGTGAGTCGTCAGCTGCTGACACTCCTGCTGCCACAATGGAGCTGAGTTGTTCTTGGTTTTTGCTGCTGAAATCAGAGAAACATGAAAAGGACACTGGGAAAAACAACATGTTGATTGTGAATCACTGAACAGTTTTCATGAACAGCTCTTTTCTGCCACCATTAGCTGTCTACACCTGTATGTCTACACACAACGCTGCCTTGGTCGTACTTGTTGTGGTCTCAGGTCTCCACGGTGTGGTCAGTGTTGATGTCTATGACTGTAGACTATGACCTTTTATGTACATGCATTATATCAGTTTTGCTGGGGATGCATTTGTTCATGGCCTCTCTATTGCCCTCTAATGGTTGTGTTCACCATTGTACTTTTTTTGTGTTTTCTTGTGTATTTATTGTCCTGATTGTTGTGTGTTTGTTGAATTGTTGATTGTTGTATTGTATATGTATTGTATAGATATTGTTTGCATGTTCTCCCTGTGCCTGTGGGTTCTCTCTGGGTGCTCCAGCTTCCTCCCGCAGTCCAGAGACATGCACATTAGGTTAATTGGCGACCTCTAATCCCTTATTATACTATGACTTTAATGTCTTCCTATACTATGACTTTAATGTCTTCCTATACTATGACTTTTTACAACTTACTATACTATGACTTTTTATGTCTTAATATACTGAGTTTTTATGCCTTACTATACTATGACTTTTAATGTGTTCCTATACTATGACTTTTTAAGCTACATAAAGTTATTATCACACCACTGGACACATTCATTTGGGCTGTGACATTCCATTTCAGCACTTTAACCACAAAAAGTGTCTGTTCTAGTAGATTTCAGCCATTTGTATGAAAGAGATTACAGTAATGGGGGAAGGACAATGGATGCTGATTGCTGAATGACAATTTTCTCTCAGTTTCTTTCTTGTTTACAGAATCATAAATCCATCCTTCAGCATTCACACACCTGCAGCTGAAAACCTGTCCGGTCAGTCCAGTTCCACTCTGCACCGCAGCTCCGCTCTGGGTTTTTCCTGCAGCCTCTCTGCAGTACTGCTGCTCTCCTCCTCCCTCCGCCATTTCAAACAGCTGCCTGCGCCCGGCCCTGTGATGGAGGAAGAGGGAGAGGAGCTTTGTTGACAGGAGAAGACGGGAGGAAGGGAGGGAGATTGAAAGAAATGAGTCAAGAGGAGGAAGAGGAGGAACACAGTGATCACTCTCCTGAGGAAGACTAAGAGAAATCAAAGTTTTGTTGGCACAAACATGTTTTTCAGTCAAAGCCAAAGTTGCAAAGTTTGGGGAAATTTCATTTTCTCTTTAAACAAACAAAAAACAGGAAGAGCTTTTCTATTCATTTACATTGTGAAATAAGATGGAAAAAAAAATCAGAAATGAAAAAGCTTTACGATCTAAAACGAGGAATCTCACAAATGACTCACAGAGATTAATAAAGTTCAAATCTTGATAATCTATATTACATTAAATGACAATGACATTTAATGTGAAAGGTGTGGGGGGGGGGGCTTCCTCTGCCTTGGGGGTTCAAACTGATCATGGGGTCCATGGTTTGAGTCCAGGTGGGACCATTACTGCGTTTCCTGTCACCAAAGACATAAAAAAAAAAGATCATCAGTATCACAGAGCTTTTTTGTTTTTGGCTTTGTTTTGATTTCATGGCTGAAAACTGTATCAGGTTGTTTCCTACCTGTTCAGCACCAGGTGTTAGACTCCCACACACCATTTACACATAACACACAACAAATCAATACCACATGGAAACAGCCGCCGGTCATGACACAACCCCCTGAAAATGTCCTGTCCTGTCGAATCATTCACTGTCAGAAGACCAGCGCACTTTTAGAAACACACAGGGCTGACAATTATCTCTCAGAGGCTGCCAACCAAAGAAAGACAAAGACAGAGAGGATGTTGGACTTAAATTCATCAAACATGACAAGTGGATGATAATGTCACATGGGCCGTAAACTGGCTCGGTGAATGTGACAATAAGGGAGATCACACAAAGTTATACTAAACTATTTTAACCAAAACATAAGACAAATAAGCGATGAGGTGTGGAAATCAGCAAGTTTAGCCAGGACAGTAGCACATGGATGAGGGGTGAATGTGCTGTGCAGGTGTTGTATGTGCAAAAAGCAAAAGATGGATGTCAGCAGTTGGAAGAGAGAGGACAGCTTTTATACTCTGGAGGGTCCAGGTGAACCAACTGCCTGCTGATGTGGGCAAGACAAGACAACAGGAGGGGCGTCACAGCAGTTAAATGAGGAGATAAAATAGGCCTTTTTTCTGATCTGTGTTCTTTCCTGTGTAGTGCTCATCATATGCTTGAGCTGTCTCCATGGTTGGATTAACCAAACAGGCCCAGGGGACTCAGGGGTCACTCTCTGCAAAAGTCACTTTCAAATGTTGAAAAATCAGAGGAGGGATGTCATGATCAGTGTTTTGCTGCAAGACCAAACCATGTCTGAACATATATGTATTCTTTAAAATATTTTTATAATTCTACACAATAGTAGTAAACCAATTTATATATGTGTGGCAGCTCAGCAGCTCTGCTTTAAGAAAACAAAAGCTGTGCCTCATGTTTCCACAGATGGTTTTCTGTCCCAGTTAGAAAAATAAATCCGGCCCTTACTTGTTTTCTTCTGGCCCAGTTCCACGGCCCAAATCTGGCCCATGTACAGCATGATTGTCAGATGTTACTTCCACATCTGGACCAATTCTGGCACACACACAGAAAATCTTGAGGAGGATGACAGCTGGAATCTGCCCAGATGTGGAAGTATATGGGCCAGACTCGGGCCTAGGACCAAGGCAAACGTTGGGCCACTTTGTTTAGTATCCCATAGTATTTATGTGTGGAGAGGAGTGTCCGTGTGGAGCTATGGTCTGTTTCCAAGTCTGTTCCACCAAGTGCACCCTCCTTTTCTCTTCCTGTCTGCAGTGACCAAACATCAAACTGCAGCATATAATGACGTGGAAGAAAGAAAGTATTTCTTAAGTGCTCTGCGTCGGAGTGAGGCTAAAAGAGACAAAAGCTGGACAGAAACAAACAGCGAGAGTG